GCGACAGGCTTGATTATCGCACCTCGGCCTTTGTTACGATTCCGCTGCTATTTCTTGTTTACGGGCGTAGTCAATGCTTGCGAGCAAGATCACGCGCGTAGATATGATACCTACAAAAGTGAAGCTCGTTCTAGCGACTGTTAAATATTTGGATGGACTTTGAATCGATATGCGTGTACCGTTTAGCGGAGATCACGAGAGCTAGCACACGAGAGAATACATTATATCCAATGTTAGTAAAATACCTCAGATTTGTAACTCCAGCGGAAAGAGGTACCTCCCTCTTCCCCCCCCCCCTTTTTTTTCAGTCACTTCCGTCTGCCTCCCATCGTTTCAAGCGCAATCTACTGGGTGTGTAAAGGAGCGGACAGGCTCTTTAAATCGACCACAAAATTCGGTTTCTTAACCTAGCGCGTTCCGATTTTGTACAGCGTTGGCCACAGGTGGTGGATTTTTTCTATAAAATTTGAAAAAGAGCGAGCTTACCTGGGGAAAAAGTAAAAAAATAAAAAGTCTTTAACTTTTATAAAAGCGCAGCGAAGCCACCGGCCATATATACGCATATACGTACGCATATACGTGCAAGAATATACGTGTATGCTGGCTATATGCCCTTTTATATTGGAATGTTTTCCTTCTTTCAGCTCACACCGTACAGACATGTCAGGAAGCAAGGAAAGGCCATTTTTCCTCTCATCGTTTATGTTTGGGTGATTAACTCGGTCTTTTGAAAAAAAGAAAATACTAATCATTTGAATCACATATTGATAAATACATTTTTATTTTTTTTAATTGTTCTTAGATCTTTGTTTTTTCACCATATTGTAAGCAATCAATATGTGCATCAGGTCACGTAAGCACCGGAAATCCCACCAGCACGTAACGGACACTGCCGAATCCAGAGGTATAGGTCTTGGATGCTATCCCTGTCACAGTTTTCCGTCTGGCCAGCTGAAAATTGACGAAATGTCCACTTCGTTTTATGTTCCTCTCACATCCCGGGACCCGGTTGCCGCAGATGCCCGGACGAGGGCCTGTTTTCGTTTCGCGACATCCATTTCGTTTCTTGGAACGCGGGACGACCGGATTTGGCCAGATAAACAACAACGTAAAAATAAACTCCACAGGTATATCGCACAACAAGCATGCATGTTTCGGAATAGCGCCACTCTAAACGTGTCTCTAGAATAAAAAAAAAATAAAAGCGTAAAGCGTGAAAAAACTTAAAATGTTTTTGGAGTTCACAAGTACGCAGAATCAGGGGCACGCCATCGGACTTACTCTCTTATTTCTCCAAATATGGCCTCCTTTACAAACGGCGGCAGCACTTTTCGAAAACCGAAAGGTCACTGAACCAAACAAAAGCGGCGGGAAGCGTAACAAAGAGCGCGACTCGCGGAAAAAGCCTCTGGCTCATTGCACACATGAAGTCTTCGATTGCGCAACTGGGATTGCGCAACGCGCGTGCAACCAGCACATTTCCTCCGCCGATACCACGGGAGTCCGGACGCACCAACATTGCGCAACGTTATGCATTCGCGTCAGGAGGTCTGGACTCTGAAGTAGCTCTCTCTCTCACGCTTTCTCACTGCCGTCGCATGCGCGAGGACGGTTTCGGTGTGATGCTGATATCATCATTGGGGAACGGTATGCCGAAAAGAATAACGGAGAAATCGGCCGTTATGATCGTTCGGTTCTTTATAGTGGAGTGTTTCAGTTCCTGTATATTCCTGAGCTTATACAAAATCATATTTCCGATTATATTTTTGTTTAATTTCCTGTATATATTTCCATGCACATATCTGTGTTTTGTGTGTATATTTGATAACGTTTGTATATGCAATAGTGAACAACAAAATATGATATTTCGACTTTACGTGGCCAACGTTTTTTTTTTTTTTCAAAACGGTAATATATGCACAGAAATTGTTATGTAAAGATATATTAACGTGTTTATATTGTACAAACCGACTTTTACTCAAATAACGATGATAATTTTTATTACAAATGTATTGCAACACTGGTTTTACTAGCGCAACAGGACATTGCCGATAGTATGGCCGTTGTGACAAGGTTGATCACTGAATTATCCCCGTATCTTGAAATGAACTTAAGCTGATTAATACTTCCTATAAAAGCCCCTAATAATGATCACAACTTGGCACCAATAGTTCATATAATCCAGCGCACTGTTGTAGGACATCTGCTCTAGTTCCCCCCATTTCTTATGCAGTTGGTAAAAACTGTTCGGTGTTGCGGGTTTTATTTTTCTCCAGACGGCAGTACAACCATTCCTAAAGATGCTCGATTAAATTAAGGTGAGATGACCTGCTTGGCCACTTCATCATGGACAGCCTTCTTTTCTTAAACGAGTTTTTCATAAGCCTGTATGAGCAGACTGTCGGACCGAATTTTTTATCGGTTCGGTTCACGTTCAGTTCCAGGGTGGCGACGAAGATTTCAGTTCGCTTCAGTTCCTTTTCGACAAAACAATAACGGCTCGGTTCCGTTTTTCGGTTCGGTTCCGGTTTGGCACTGTTTATGAATGCTTGGGGTCACTGTCCTTCTAAAATTCATAGCTGCGATCAAATTTCGTTAATTCCCAAAAAAGCATGACTCCCCCAGATTTGATTCTCTTACAGACCTCCTTCGTCATCACTTCCTAAAGGCGATGAATGGAGCCAACACCACGAGAAGAAAGGAAGGGGAACATTGGCTCATTAGAAAGACAAATAGTGTAAGTTGGCTGACCACGAGCAGAGACACATCCTCATACACTGAAGCTCCGTCCATCATGCTTCACTTTAGGCAGCTGACAGCGAAGATCAAACCTGACGCCTTTTGGACGTCGTGCGTATTGAACTCCATCGTTACCAAACAGTCTAAACTTAGGTACGTCTGACCAGACAGCTTTCTTACTTTAGTCAGGGGTTCAATTGAGGCAGGAGCAAATTCAAAACTCCATTTTTTTTTTTTTTTTGACAACTTGTAAAGATACTATTCTTCCATTTGTTCTTGTGCACCGGGGGGTCCACACATGTCAAATTGCCGTTCGAGAAAGGGGTAGGGGGGAGGGTCGGCTTTGTTTTGGGGGGGGGGGGGGGAGGCCTCCCCCTTCGCCCCCCCCCACTTTTTTGATCCACCCCTGAGTTGAGGAGTTCCTTCACCTGCTTACCCAAAATGTCAAGTTCGTTTTGATTTCTATTGGATTCCTAGCTGGGCTAAAGGCAGTTAGTCCAGCAGCTCGCAGATGGCGTCTCACAGTTCATAGCAACGCCGTGAAGCCAGATTCTTGAAAGATATTCTGAAAATCTCGATCACAGAAAGTCGAGGGTTTCCGCGACTCGCGGGGAACGGCGTTCCTATCTACCAAGTAGGACGTCGTCCTCGAGAATGCCGAGTAAAGACACTTCTTCCGAGCCTGCTTCTCTCGGGGATTTGAGAAACCGTTCATGGCGATAGCCTGAATTGCTCTAAAAGGTGGCTCTGATTCATTCCCGACGGGTGGCCGCGAATGATCGCCTTCTAAACATTCTCCGCTTAATTTCGTGCTCGTCAGGCTTTTCCTATTACTCGAAAAATATGCGTATGTCAAGATAAAATCCTTAGGAAACAGTGGCAATCGTATATGCTTTGTGGAAAACTCGAAAGTGACATGAAACGGCCACAACGTGCCGACAAGAGACGCGCAGTTTAAAAGCAAAATATAAACAAAAATGCAGGCGGTGCAACATTGCAGCCCTTGCGCGAGAAAGGCTGCATAATGGCGTGCCATTTTCGGAAACACAATCTTAAGAATATTAGTGGCTATTTATTAGACGTGAAACGAGAGTTCTGTCCCAAAACAAGAAAACAAAATGTCGCATCATTTAGTTCACTACTTTACCTACTTCTCATTTTCCTGCGTGCTTTCTGGCTCCTGAAATTAACATCGTCGCTGCTAAAGGTTCTATCTCACCACTCCACCAGAAGCAGGCGCAGGGCGGAGCTGTGGAAAGGGATGGCAAGAAAACGAGCTTTCTGGAGACAACGTCAATGATTTTATTGATTTTAAATGTTCAATGTTTACTAAAGGAACACTTGCTTTCAAGCTTCGTCTGTGGGAAAGTTATCATTACCAGTGTCAAGGGCGCGAATGCTCATTCTAGTTGAATGAACACCATTCGGTACAGATCAGTATCGATCGAATTATGAATTCGATACTGAACGAGTGAATTATTAATTTAGGGGAGGGTCATGTCCGGATAATGCTTGTTTTTATTTAGAAAACTTCAAAAATTGGACATTTCAAAATTATAATTCGAATATTGAAGACTTCATAATCTTTCATAAACTATACGATAAACACGAGAAATAAACTAAAACAAACCCGTAAATAGGAACCACTTCAAATCCATCTAATTTTTAACGCATCGAGCTGCGATTGACACAAGAGTTATCTAATTTATTTGTGGATCAAAACTTTAAAGAACAATTAACTTTCCTGAATGAAAAATGTTGAACACAAAAACACTTTTTCTTTTTCGTAGCTACGGCGTCTGTTTGCAAATGACACGCGTCTAATTGGCGCACAAGACGAAATATTCGGGCTGCCCATCCTCTCATGAGCTTTTCATCGCGGACTCCACCGCTCTGCTTCAAGAGTGAGAGACGGGCTACTTGGTACATCGCTCCTTTTCACAAAAGCGCCGCAAGACGGGGACAGAAAGTAAGAGACACAACACGAGCGCTCTGCATCGTCGAAAGCGGACAATTTCTTTTTTCTTTTTTTTTTTTTTTTTCAGGTGAAAAGCACTGCACACGTTTTTAAGGCTAGTTAACAGCGCCTAATCTGATAAATTTCTGGTAATAAAACACTTTTAATGAACACAAAACAAATAACAACACAATTTTCATTCTGATGATTTTGGGCATGCGGACGCGCTTGGTAGTGTGAACTAACATTAGAGCCAAAACAAATTGTACAAATAAGGAATGTGACAGGCGTTTGGCCAACTTACCAAGCCAATGATATTGACCATCCGAAGTTTATAGCACTGCGGCACACCTTGCGAGGCGAAAGTGGGTTGGGAGGTGCTCACGTCGTAAGAATCGTAAGTAGATCCATTCATGTCTGACCGGTTTCGTCGCTCGGGTGGCCTTTTTCCAGATCCATACATTTCCTTTTTTTCTTTAAATAACGGTCGCCCAAAAAGCGGGAACGTTGGTCTCACACTGGATAGGATGTAGATCGTCGAAGGCGCGAAAGCGTTCTTGGCGCCTATTCTCGTCGCCGCCACAAAGACCCTTTCCACGCCAACTGAGCAAGGCCGCGCCCCAAAGGGAGAAATTTCATTGGACTCTGAAATGTCACGTGATCTGACGTCACACTCGCACTTTTGCTTTCCTTCGCGTCGTGGTGACTCATCGCGCAGTCGGCGCAGTTTTCACACTTTCGCTCGCTCCGTTCGGTTGGCATGGTTAACTATGAATGGCGGCGGACTAGACTCAGGAGGTGGCATGGTATGCCCGCTCAGAAAACATGACGGAAACTGGAATTTTTGTATGAATTCTGAAAGATTTGATTATTGTTTTCAAGAACTTTTTTTTTTTTTTTGCATCTACTATGGCGCGCCCCGTTCTTTCGATGTTGTAGAACAACTCTTACGGCTTAACATGAGTTTGTATGGCGGACATCTGAAACTGATCACAACAGGCGGCGTGTCGTTTTCTTTCTATTTCAATTGAAATTGCGACGCTTGGAAACTTGATCACTATTGAAATAGCCTTAGTGTATATTTTCAAAAATACATCGTTGTCATTTCTTGGCATTTATCGAATTCAAAAAAAAAAAGTGGCGAAATGAACTGCACAGTTATTTTTTTATTACTGTTGTACTTTTTTTTAGGAATACTTGGCATGACTCCAAATGATCATAACATCTAACTTCAAAGTAAATCTGTATCCGGATTTGTTTCTTCAATAAAACGAACTATTTGGGGAAACTGATTTACCTTTAGAGCTCCTCTCAATTCAGAACTTGTTGAAAAAAGGTCACAATATCTAAAACACAATTCTGTCTTCATTACTTACCTGAAGTTTTGGTTGTGTGGGACGCCACTGCAGACGTGCAACGAAACTGTCATTTCGTAGTTCGTTTGCTGGCAAACAAAATTAGCTAAAAAAAAAAAAGTTTTGATGCCTAGGTTTAATTTAGTTGCTCACACTGTTATTCCGTTAGAAGAAATTATTAGAGTGAATATGCTTAAAATTATAGAAATTAACTCAAATAATCCACACGTTCTTCACAAAAATAGTGATGCCTGGAAAAAGAAACGTCGGCATGGAATAGGATTAAAACCTGATTAAGAAAAAACGCAACGCGAGAAAACTGCCTTATTTTTGAACGAACAAATAAACCAAAGCGCAGACAACAATTCACTGTGGCATAGAAGTCAAATCAACATTGAAGACAGCAAACAAACGCCTTTTTATTAATAAATGGAGCAAAGGTCAGACAAGGACCTCAATCATTCTGTCCAAGCAAAAAATCTCGACCCGTAATGCACGCTTTCGATATAGATGTAAAACTTGTCAGTACATAAAGAAACGTGGGAAAAACTAAAAAGAAAATGAGAAGGTTCCAACATTTTCACGACTTCTGGTGTTTACGCTTTTTATTGGCTCCTTGATTTGGTTCGCTGCTCTTACTGGTAATACAAAAATCTCTGCGGCCATGGAGTGATAGTAGGATTCCCCTGGCTGGTGGCCCACATTCGTTGCTTAGGCTGGCAGTGGCTATGGAAGCAGGAAATTAGAACATTGAAATCAAATATCTTGGCATGCCTAAAAGCAACCTATACTCGCGGTTGTCTCAACGGAATCATGCACAGAAAGTCGATGGGGGCATCACTTCATAACATATCTTATTTCTTTAGAGAGATTGAGAAGAGAAGTGTGGTTCCTTAATGCAGTATATAATAAAACTATGATTCATACGTCCTTATAAGTGTTTATGAAACGATTGTTTATGATAAAAATGTACCGCTTTCCTCGTGCTGCATAGTTGGATGCGGTCCCGTGACGTTCACGCCTATTCTCTCGAAAGGAACTCCCGTTGTATGCGTGACGAGTGAAGCTTTCGGACCGTAGTGAGGAGGCTTCCGCGCACTGCATTGGTTACACTATCAGCAGCCAAATGCAACGTCGTCACTCATACTAAACCACAAAAATCTTTTTCTGTCCTTTTCTAAAGTTTTTGTTTTGCCAATGGTTTCTTTTCATGTTCTGGCATCGCGGACGGATGCTGGGGTTTCGGGAACCCAAATGCGAAAATGGTTTTGCTCCGTTTATGTGCGCAAGCTACTAAGCCAAGGTGAGTTCTCAGCGCAATAGCTAAAGCAAAAACACAACAATACTTTACCCTGATTAGCCTAAAACCTTACATTATGGGAATATATAAGCGCGCTATAGCTGACGCACCATCAGCACTATCTGCCGTGTTCTGATGCAGATGGTGGATAACGGGAGTCACGGATACAGTGAGATCATTTTGTCGATTACGTGTACGAATACCACAAAGGCTAATAATGATTTAAGTGATTTTGACATAGGGCAGATTGTGATGTCAAGCTCAAGGTATTCATTCGTGCACGTACTTACATTCGTTCGTGGCTTTTCCTCACTAAGGCTTTCCCCCTACCAGAACAAGAATATTCCAATAGGAAAGCGCTCCATGTCACATAGTCGGAATTGTGCTACAGTAGATTAGAGAGCATAATGATGAATTCAAGTTGATGTCCCAGCCCTATTCACACATCTCGTCAGATAGCAGTCCTGTTGAAAACATTTGGGAGGTGATGGGGCACGAGTGTAATTGAGATCTAAGATTATCTCCTCGTAATCTACGGGAATTGTGAAACCTGTGCTTACAAGTCTGGGTCGATTTGCTAAAATCAGCGTTTTAGCTTATATTGTGTGACCGAAAACCTACCAAGACAGGGGCGTACGAGCGCCTGACACTCAATTTCACGTGCCATTCCGCGCGTGAGCTAGCTTCGGCAGTGTTTTCTATCACGCAGTCTTAGCTAAGACACCGATTCTAGCAAGCCGGCCCAGGTTCAAATTGACTCACCGCATTGACCAAGGACTTTTAGAATTAATGCCAAGGTGGGTTTTAACTGTCTTGCGTGCCAAAGGTGGATTAAATCAGAGTCAGGTGAGTGGTCATGGCGTTTTTGTGATCAGTGTATGCATTTTATGAAGCTCTCTGTTGCCTTTCTTACCATAAGACACTTTTATTTTAAAAAAACACATTCGTGACTATACAAGTTTTCGGTTTCGCAACTTCGCTTTTTTATAAGGACACAAGTTTAAGGTAAGACATATCATTTCTATTTTATTTGGGTTACTTTGGTTGTGGCAGTTTTTTAACAAAACTAATACACTGTAGAATGACTCAGAAAGCTTAAAAGGGGCATAAAAACTATGTTCGAAGCAAATAAAAAACAAATGAATAACACGTACCCACAACATAAAAAGATGAATGACGAAGTACAATCACAGAACTTTCCGAAAAAAAGAGACACTATAAACAGGACAAGAATATGATGACATCTAAAGAGTACGCACACAGCGCGACATACATAGCGTGAGCTAACAAGCGTGAGTTTCTTCTCTTTATTTTTTTACTAACATTCAATAGATGCCATAAAATAGTAGAATGGTAGAAAGTTCTCAATTACGGCAGCAATGTAAGTGGTAAATTGTTTGGCCCCTCCATACTTTATGAAATCCCAAAAGCGCTGATATCTAACTCACGCTAGCAGTGTCCCAAAGTGTAGGATACGAGGTTTTGGCTCATGAAGGTATTCTCCACGAACGGATCTGATGTTTTTTAAACTACGGAACAATGGCAAGGGAGTTAATTTATAATAACTGGTGTAACAGATGCATTGTTAACAAAATATATTGCATATTTTCACGAATGACAAATGATGAGGCGGCAAATAACTGGAGAAACTAAACGTATAATGTGGCGAACTAGTGCTAAAACAAAATAAGAATCAATGGCAAAAAAATGTTGGGCTCCACACGCTATGAAAATGGCTGGCCAACGAAGCTGTGGTATCACCTGCAACATCTGCCCACTGCACTATAGACCCTTTTCATGGCAAACGACGCCACCAGGTGGTGCTCCAGTCTTTGGCGTCCGAGAAAACTGTCAGATTATAAAAATAATGAACAAAGGCCACCTTAACCCCGCTGCTTGAAATGTATATGAAACGTTTCATCACCAATTCTCCAGGAGAAAACTAAAAGAATGAAGGAGAGCGAGATCTGTTTAAATGTTTCGAGTATTCTTGTAAACCTACTTGCCTCCTTCAAGATGTAATATTGTACAGCCGAGGGCCCTCGTAAAATCTCCAACTTTGTTGTCCGTGTTGCATTCACGCTTTCTAGCACCGGTGACATAAGCAAGCTCAACAGGCTTGCAAAGACGGTGCGACTGGAAGTCGCTTGGGACGCAAGCGACTTCCGGTCGCTCGCGTAGACAGCGAAGGGTCTATACCTAATGAACAAGCAACTTCCGGTCGTTCACGTTTGCAAACATCAAAGGGTCTATACCAAATGATTGACGAAAAAAAAGTGAATGTACTGTAGAAAAACTTTTTTTTTTATATATGAAAGACCTCGTACGCTGCCCTTGCCACGGCAGCTTATGCAACCGTAATCTTTACCGCGAAACGCATGTGGGGAGCGCTAGCTGTGCTTCGCATTGTTGGCCGCGCCTTATAATCTGTCATGTGGTTTCGACACTTGTTTCGTGCTTTTCTATTGAAACAACTGTCAAAACCACATGAAAGCTGATAAGGCGCGCGCGAACGATTATGAGGCGCAAGCGATGATTTTTTATCGACGGACAGTAATAAACCCGACCAACGAGTCATTATAGCTTCGCTGTAAAACAGACGTCGCAGGCGTCGATGACGGCGTAATGGTAGGATCGAACGCAGGCGAAAGAATGTCCCGGTTTGCAACGCGGACCTCCTTATGTATACACGTGGGGGCTTTTGGATCAATCGGCGGAGAATGTTCGGCGCGTAGAATATTCAGATCTTGAACAAGCAACATAATTCTCGAATACACCAGGAGGTGACATTTATAGAAATAACAAAAAGGAGAGATCGCTCCCAGGCATCGAAAATCGGCTCATTGCGTGGGAGCCAAGCATGATAGCCATTCGGCAACGGGCACGCTGCATCCTAGGCAGCCTTCCTACACCGTGATCCTAGGCTAGATGCGCGCGCAGCAATATCAATCTTCCCGCACGAGATGTGGATTAAGCTTATTGTGGATAGGCGTAATGAACTTAATACGCACTAGACATATGAAATCCCCCCGTCCCTTCGCTTTTTCCCAGAAAAATGAGCTGTGAGGCCGTGATGAATCAGAGGAACCTGGAGCATGTGAAACGCCTTACACTTTGTGCAACGGACATGGCACTTTTGCGCATGAATGATACTCACGAAAAGAATTTTTCATACCATTATTTCTTAAGTTCACATTGATTTGTCATCTGCGTGCTCTTCGGAAGTGCATTTGCGCGGGATGCGTTTACAAGCAGTGTGTAATGTACTAAATTAAATTAGAAATTTATTGGCGGGTATTTTTGTTATATCCGAGACACCAAGTCTTTGTTAACGTTTTTGCAAGTCGCAAAATTAGAAACGCCTGAAACTCTAAGCTCGACGTGGAGACGTTTCTCCGCCAGTTTACATGATCATTGGGCGGAGCCTGTAAATATTTATGATTCTATGTTCCTCAATACCCTTGTAGCGAGCTGCTGTCAAAATGTAGCCAAGGCTTGGCGCACGTCGGACTTGCCCTCCACTAATAAGATATTGTAAGTATGAAACATGTTTTAGATCGGAACCAAAGTCACGGCGGCTACACACTAAAGCATATATGATGAACACTCGCTGGTAAAAGATTTACACGTCAGGTTCAGCTTTAAAAAGACTCCAGTGTTGGGCATCACGAGGACAAAAAGAAAAATCTTGCACTATTTCACATCGCTTTCGTCGAATACAAAGTAAGCGAGTAAGTAGTGGTGCTTTTTGCGTATACTCTGTATGGGAAAAAAAATATTGCTATTAGAATCTCCTATTCCTCAGCAAAAGAAAGAAAGTAAAAGCTGGTTCATTTCAGATAGATTTTTGAGGAATGTAGGGGGGTCAATGATCCTGAAAACAAGTCATTTCAATTTACTTTCCAATATTTCACCATTTACTTTGTGAATATCAGTTCTAGACAAACGATCAGTGTATATGTCGGTCACCTCAAAGCTCAATCTATACATGTGATTATTCTAGCCGCGGCTGCGTTTTCGAGTTTAAATCCTGCCCTTAGTAATTACAAAAATGGTGCAGGTTTTTTTTCTTTTTTTTTTCTCGTAACACTGCATTTTATGATTTTGTAAATTTTTAAAAAGGATGGGGTTAGTTAAGGATTTCATATTACCGTTTGCACCCGCAATTACAATGATGCTTTCTGTGGCATCCACTTTTGTGAGATTTAATTATTACCCTTAGCTGTTGTGGGGATTCCTCTGTTCTCCCTTCCCCGATGGCTGTGATAACGGCCGCGGGTCGGAACACTCGGCCTTCTTCGCCGTGAGCTCCGACCTGTTCGTGAGGCGGAGGGCCGCCTGGCTTGGGGGGCCCTCTTCTCACTCTCTCCCTGACAGGCGAGGAGGTTTCGCCTCTTGTTTTCCCGTTTTGGGGAAAGGGACTCGCCCGGGTGACCGCGAAAGAGATAGCACGTGTGTCGGCGACTTCTCCGATGCTTCCCCGGTCTTGGCACTCCAGAACCCCGCGTCTGGCCAGGTAAGGACCTTTTCTTACCTTGCCGGCGCGGGGGGCATTTTGGATGGGGACATTGTAGTTCGTTTTAAGAGTGTTCCAATAAATGCTCTTGGACTCTGTCTTTACTCTGGTCCGTGTGTCTTCTCTTCCGCTATATTCGAGAGAGTGAGACAAGGTAGACGATCCTTGGCACCGACGGAGGTAATTAATCGAACCGACCCGCGGTAATGTAGCCCTAAACGTCGTCTACATTACCGCGGAGATGTGGGGACCGCGGGCTACTAGGTTTGACGGCTCCTTTGAGATCGCCACCGCTGCTGAGACAACCCTTTGGTTACTCTATCGGTACCTGTGTAAGTTGGTAGCTAGCAAATCCCACAGTGTGCAGTAAACAAAAAATCTGCACCGCCATTAAGCAGTTTAGTGAAGTCATTTTTAAAGAACTAATGCCTAGTGAATCAGTCGCTTGCATTTTCTTCGTGTTACAGTTAGCATTAGCAGCAGTCCTCATTAAACTGTTGATACCTTGAATTTACCGGTACGTTTCTGTCTGACAATCACATATTTCTTATGTTTAATTCACGAGAACTTGCAATATTGCAAACGTACACTTTGGGAAAATTGGAAGTTTAACAAAATAAACGCCGATACTCGCCATAGAATTAATGAAAAATAAACTTCAAAATTAATACACCCTCCTAATTGCGTGAAAAGTTAACTTTGAAATACCAAAACACTATAATACTAGATTTAAGCAGCATACAGAGTTGAAAACACTCAACAGCACCTGGATCTCGTAAACAGATAGATACGCATTAAAAAAGAACACAGGAGTAGACTCCTACACCGTCCTAAAAAAATTCCCTCTACAATTTAAGGAAGTCATATGTATCCCTAATAAAACAAAATATGTGAATGAAATAAAAGAATAATGTATTTAATTAAAACACACTTGAATGTGGAGCAAAATGACTCAAAATATACCATGATAGAATTTGTCATCTAAATGTGCGCATGCCACTATTTCGCTGCTTCTCCTCTAAGAAAATTGAACACAGAAAGTTTAGTCAAGAAATCAGCCAATGTGAACAGGTGGAATATTTTTCAGTGGCGAACAAATACATGCCAAAGCCTATACAAATATCTCAATCTTTCATTTAATCTATACTTTGTTCACCGATGACAGGATGGTGCAAGCTATGTGATTGTCGGACTAATCATTCACGTGTCTCTCACTGCCTCACCTCTCTCTGTGCGCGATTATGCTCAGAGAGCGTGCGATCACATGGCTCAAGACAGGTGGTTGACTGGTTTAACGATGATTTAGCATCCCTCGCCCTCTAAACTTAGAAGTGAACGTAAACGTTGTATCGTATCTCATGACATACAAAATCTAGTCAAGCTTAAAAGTTGCTTTCTGGATTAAAGCAGTAACAATATTGCATCACTACCATTTCACGTTTCTACCCACGCTAAATGTTAGATCCCAAACGCTAGGCTCTTTTCGCGTGTTTTGTTAGCGGAAGCCTGTGCTATCACTTAAGAGCAGAAACTGAGCACGCGCCAGAAAGTACCCGATATCCGCAACGCACGCTCTACGACCCCATTTCGCGCCGTCGGTTTGAGCGGAGTGGTGATGAAGCACACGCAAGTGTAGAACAAATGTATCGTATAACAACTAGACTTAAAGAATAAAAAAGCTCTAAACACTTACATTGACATGACTGTTAAGATGTTAATTTCATGGCACTAAAATTCCATCGGAGCAAACTCTTCAAAAAGATAGGGAATTGAGTTCGCTATCTGGACTCTGCGCACATATTTTGGAGTGCGCAGGTTTTATTCTTTTTTCCAATTAAGCTCGGTCTGAAGTATTTTTAGCTGCTCTCGAGACAGCTAAATGTAAACGTGCCACACATAACTTTTCATGCCCAAATTTGTGTAAATATTAAAAGTAGAGTCGGCGCTTGTAAGCGTTAAAAGAGGTTCTACTCAGTGAATGCTAGTTCCATGAAAGTTCTTAATAACCCTAAGAACCGGGAGACAAATGTTTGCATAAACATACCTCCCTTTAGTGGTCGCACGAGATTTTCTTAGGGCGATGACGTTTGCGCCCACGAAATGCATGTATGTTAGTTCGCTAAGCTCATTTGATTCTCTCCTCAATCGGTTTGGATGGCGCCCATCACTAAGTAACAACCTAACCACGAAAGAGAATGCACCATTAACTCCTTTGATTGGTTGACATGCCTGGACACGGGCCTAACTATTTATACCGTATATATCGCCAGGTAGATATCTGACTAAATATCGTGCAAAGTTGAACTATGAATAATAAAATAACACCAGTATCTTCTCTCAATCCTTGGCCAAGACTGGAACACGAGTCTATTGGCTCATTTTTGCCACTTTGGAAATCGCACCACACTTTCTCCATTGACCTTCTTAATCACTGGTTTGCCACAAAACGTCACGTTCTTGAACAAGAGTTCATTAAAAAAAAAGAAAAAAAACTGGGAATTATTTCACGGCACAAAGCTGTCTGGACCGCCCTCCGGGATCATTACTTCGAGCTGTCGGGAACATGGGGTGTTCTTCTGCGCCTCGGTGGGCACCACTGGAATGGAGAGCATAAAGCAACGAAGTGAGGATTTACTCGAGTGAATGCAGAGCATAAAGGAACAAAATGAATATTTAGTCTAGTAATAGACACGCTGTTTATCGACAAAACCTACGGGTCCACTGTTCCTCAAAGCACGCAGACGGCAAATCATCCTAATAAATAGAAAAATGCCAGCGATGTACGTGACAGAGATAACGTCCTTACGTGGAGATGCTTTCTACGCATATCGCATTTTACGGACAATCGTATACTCCACTTTGTCATCGATAAATATATTTTTTTTTATTCAGAACGCAATGTTTGTTTTAAAGTGTGCTCTGCGGGACAGTGAAGGCAAATGCCTTGTACGTAAGCATTGTGTCTTTTAGTTGAGTATATACGGTAGTTCAACAGCATCTGCCCAACCAGAAATATTATGGGAAGCTATAAGTAAAATATTGAGGAATATGCCGAAACGAGTGCGGATCGCGTTGTATCATGCCGTTAACTGGGGTATGGTGTTTGAAACTTAACATATCATGAACAACCAGGGCGAACATGTCTTAGTTTTTTTCTTTTTTTTTTTAAATGGATGCCAATTTTAAGCAATTTTACTTACTGAGACATCTATACCCATCGAGAGCTGAAGAATCGCAAGGAGCGGTCAGTTCCGAACAAATGGGGATCGCAAGTTCATCTGCTTCTTGCGCGAGGGTAGCCGTGACGTCAGAACGCCGAGCTCTGATTGGCTCGATTGGAAGGTCAGTGGGTAGACTTCAAGGCAGCTGGCAATGAGGTCTACCCACTGCCCACTATTATTTCAGTCAGAGTCAATCAGAAGTCGGCATTCTGACGTCATCGCAACCCCTGCACAAGAATCAGACAAACTTGCTCTCCGTGCACTTCAGGCGTGGCATATAATATACCACTCTCGTGTAGCAAGAGCTTCGTCGGTCAAACGGGCAGATGCCTTGACGGTAGACTACGCGAACATGATTACTCTCTGAGAGCCACAGTAGGAGGACATCTTACAACACATTATAATGACTGCAAATGCAGTCCGCTATGCGGGGAAACAAGCATCCTATGGAGGCACAAAGACAAACTGACGCACGAGGTGCTGGAGGCCTACCACATCCCATCTGCTGATAATGAATGAAACAGTGCTGAATCAGTGTCACTAACAAACAAGGAAATAGACTTTTTGAAACACACAATGAAAAACCGGCATGAACCACGGTTGCCGCGAAACTTCAGGCAAGATGACAACGCGACAGCCGACTACGGATAAGGTGCTTGTTTTCATCTTTGACAATGAAGAGCTCGTACGAGCCAAGATTGATGCAAAACACTCTGCATGATGGCAACGTGACGGCCAACAACGGATCTGGTGTTTAAACAAATGACCTGGTGTTCGAAGCATGTGTCCGCGAGGGAACAGCCTACTATTTATTGTTCATCTTTCTTCTTTTTTCATATTTAATGGGGATGACGATTTTTTACGATGTTCTTCCTTCTCTTCATCTAAGTAAATACAGTTGTGAGTAGCGCTTTTTTCTGCATCTTCTCTCTTATCTCTACGTGTGCGCTAATACAGTTTAGATGATACTATTGAAGTGCCTGAGATATCATTCATAAAAGCCCATACATCGAAGGGTCTATTTTTCACAATTGAAATTATAAATATGAGCATAAATTCCGCAGAGACTTCCAAACACCTCACAAAGCTGCTAGCACTCGAACCCAGGTAAATATATTTTTCTTAATGAGTTTCCCGCTGTAAAACGCATTAAGACCGCAAGGTAGAATCTGCAGCAGCATCCGCTGCTGCGGTCTGACGCTCGACATTTATCGGGGGACCTGAATTGTGCGGCTTAATATTGCAGAATTTTGCTTCTGCCTTGCGTTAGCAAAATATACAGTGAAGATTTGCACCCAAAACATACAAAAAAGCCCTCAAGGTCTACTCCAGATTCCAAGGGTCTATTTTTTTTAAAGATAGATTTCCAATATGGAGCCGCTATTAATAAAATTATGCTGATTGGTGTGCGCAAACCTGTTTCTCTACCGTACATCGAAAGCACACCACAACCAACGCCGAAACTATTCGACGCTATAAGTGATATTAAGACTGCGGCTTGGGCTAGTTGGTTCTGATACCATGATGGGAAATAAGCCAAAAACAAAACAACAGCAGAGGAGGGAGAGACGCAGGACAGGACGTAACTTGCAGCTGGATTTTAATAGAACGCGCACATAGAAATATTAAAACCGCACATGCGCACAGAGGATACAATTCGGACGTGACTAATCAACGCCTGCTGCTTATCAGAGAGGGCAATAGAGGAAGCGCTGATACAAACATTCGAACCATGGGCACTTATCATGAAAGCCTCATGTATTTCACGCCCAGTTGCGTTCTGAATCTTTGCGGAAACTTAGTTCTATGGAACTCCGATTGGCATTCACATCTATCACAGTGCACAGCCAAATGATTAGACGGGGATCGCCTGGTGTACTCTAATTCCATCATTGATGCACCTACCCGTCTTGCCCCCGTATACCCTACGGCATGACAGGGGAATTTCATAGGTGAAACGTAGTGGGGCGGCGTTTGATGCACACTCCTTCCGTCACCCCTGACTCTCCCTTTATTATTTATTCTTTTACAAAGTCTAAAAACTTTGGCGCGAAAAAAAAAACACCGGAGTGCGAAACCTGTACGTCATCTTTTTCAGATTATGGGAAAACTTGTGCACACATGGCCGTTTCTGATAAAGAGCAGGCCTTTATTAGTAAAGCTTCGGAGACTCACAAGTAACGACCGGCTTATTTATTTTTTTTTTTAAATCTGATCATGTAATTTTTGCGCATGTGCGGTTTTAACATTTTTGAGTTTGGGTTTTATTAAAGGGACATTGACAGGGTATTTAGGCTCGCCAAGGTTTTTACTTATACATGAAGTATGAGAGCCCAACTACCGAGAACACAATTTGCGGCTCGAAATTCGTTTTCTTTCCGCCCAAGAACCGCGAATCGAGAACTAGACGGTTTGAGTCGCGCTCAGATCCCTTCCCCATGGTCACGTGCCGTTTTCTGTAGTTTAGACACAACTCCCAAAGATAATCGAAGTCGTGAGTCATTGAAGGCAGACACCCAATACTAAAACTAGACCAAGAACACTTTACCCATTTTTTGTGGCTTCTAAAAAGCTGCTAATTCGTTGATTGAAAAAAAAAAAAAAACGTTTCACAGCCAGATGACTTACGGTAACTTTCCCCTCCTTTATATTTCTTCTTAGTTTTGGTTTGGGTTTCGAGAAGTTGGGATTTCTTACTTCCTTAAAAATATACGTGACGCTTTAGGAAAATATTGACTGGGCAGAGTTCTCACATCAGGCACGTAGCCAGGGTTTTGTTTCGGGGGAAGGGGGGAGGCCGGCCGGCCGTGACAAAATGCTGTACGTGGGGGAGGGGGAGAGGAGGCCCCAGCAAAATAGATGATTTTGAGGGGGGGGGGGGGGGCGGGCCCCATGCCCCCCCCCCCCCCCCCCCCTAGCTACGTGCCTGTTTCTCATCATAATGAATCGGCTGGCAAAACATAAATATAAATGTTCGGGGGGTGTCAGTATCCCTTTAAAATTCAGTAACAAGTTATGCCATGTCCTCTGTGCCCTTCTTCTCTTTCCTCGTTGCTTCGCCGTATTTCCCATCATTTAAATGATAGATCATCTGCTCATGTCATTTGTCATATCGGCATTGCAGCCCTCAGGGATGGGCGGTATTTCAAATACAAGTATTTAAAATATGTATTTCAAATACTTTGTGTATTTTGCATTTGTATTTAATTACAAATTGGGTAATGTATTTGACGTGTGTATTTAAATACTAAAACGTGGGTATTGTAATTATTGTAATTAAATACAATTTTGTGGGCAAAAATACATCCGTCAAACTTATTGTCACTGTCCAGAGCAGGAAGAAAACTACGTTCTGCTCCAAATGCAGTGTCTCTAAATCAAGCACAAGCGGTTAGTGACTTTGTGATTAATCCGGGGCAAGAATAGTGACGAAATCGACGTTCACGGGCAGACTGGCTAAATAAGTGCCTGTGACAACTTGTGATGCTTTTCAGCCTGATTTCCATCGATATTTTTGCCTGGAACTTGTTAAATGCGCGGGTTGTCCAGATTTTTGTAACTGGCGCAAGTTGCAACAATAAAAAAATTTCTAGCTAGTGCTGTGCGTTTTGGTCGTCTCGGTTCTTTGTTGGTTTATACCAAAATGTATAGACAAAAAAAGCTGCTTGAAGCTCTGTACTTTTTTCACCTATTACGTCTAAGCTGATTACATTTCTTTTTTTTTTGTGTGATTATATTTTTATTACGTTACTAGAGCCTCACACACTAACTTCCGAGTGTGCGATGCAAAATTAAAATGAGATACCCAGAAACCCGTTGTCGCTGACGCAAATTTTGAGGAATGTATTTGGAAAAGTATTTGGAGGAAACCAAATACATTTGGTTGTATTTGTATCTTGTATTTAAATGCTTTTTCGGAAATGTAATTAGATTTGTAATTAAATACATTTTTGACGAAGTATTTTGTATTTGTATTTCGATACCTATTTGCATGTATTTTGCCCATCCCTGGCAGCCCTGCATCATTGACGTGAAGGTGCCTACCCATCTCAGCTAGATAGAAAATCATGGCAGTGTAGCTCAATAGGTCAAGAGGCTAAATAAACCTTCAAGATGAAGATGCTAGTTTTAATTTCTATATTTGTGTCTGGGGTGAAAGAATGTACTTGTGTCTTGGTTGAAAGAAAGAATGTCTGGCCTCCGTCTGTACGGAGTTTGATTATTTTTAAAATTACTTTTTGGCAAGATAGGTTCTTCCAACACACACATATTATTGATACAAAGAAGCTTAAGAACCTCAAAAGTTCTTAACCTTCTCATTATGCATTTTCACAAAAAAAAAAATATACTTTCTTAGTAGCCCCATCATGGCTTCCTTTTCATGCTAGCGCGGGAATACCAGTACACGAATAATTAAACAGATAACGAACCCGGAATGCTTTTAAAACGTATATCAGAAACAGAGCATCTATCCTGTTTAATATTGTGAGCATTCAATTGGTCTATTTAATGAGCTGATAATAAAATAACATCCTTTGTAATGGCTCAACCCACTCGTTATTCTGAAAGAATGGCAACTCGGTATTTAATATCTTCGTAGTGATAAATATCCTACGAACGATACAGCAAAAACTCACTCATTTGGTTAATGTTCTTCCCAAAATTTCGCACCACCAGTATCATGCAGAAGGCAGCTGCTAGTCGAGTCACAAGGGCGAGGGAACCGCAGACGAAGATGGCGTGACGAAGGATGCTCCAAGATTCCCGTGCTGTCTCCCGGGCAATCTGCAATTTTAAACAGATTTGTTGTTGCTGAAGACTTCAGAAGATGACCCTCCTCAGGTTTAGTACTTTGGAAACACCTGGGGAAAACCGGTACTGGTGCACTCTTCATGGATTCAGAAAATTTGCTCCACGCAAACTTCGTGCCCGGCTTGTTGTGTTCATGTATCAATTAGGGAAGATGATAGTAATAAAGTTGGGGTGATCAAAATGGGCCTTGGACGAACCCCCCCTCCTTCCTTTTATGACACCACAGCCCCAGAGTTGGTGAAATTACTGTCAGAAGTACTGAACGTTGAGATATACAGCATAACCGGTCTTTTAACGATTCAAGTCTTGTTTACGTTTATAAGTCATGAAAATAACGTGCATACGAAATTCACGTTTTCATTTTTGATTTCATTAAAACTACAATGTTAAAAACAATGGTAGGGTTCGCGTATGACTCTTGAGCATTTTGAGTTTTCACGAAATTTATCGGGTGACGCTCATACCATAGAAGGGTGGAAAATAGACATCAGGATGGTTTAAATCGTGGTGTAAATCACAAAAGTGTGATTGAAATCAAACCGGTACTATAATTATTTAAACAAATACTTGCCGCAACAAGAATCCCAGAAATGTTCTTGATTTACACTTTTCCTGCCATTTGATGCTTTCTATGGGCATTTGTTTTCTAACTTAATCAAAGAATTATTAAACAAGAAAGACTTACATCACGCTGAGCACTATAGAACAAAGCAGGGATATTCTGAGAAACTCTAAACTTGCTTTCTACCTTCGACTTCTTTCATAAGTTACTTAACGTCCCTCTGCCAATAAATAGGACTGCGAAATTAAGGAACAAAAACTAGAAAAGTAATTCCCTACCTGAAGAAAATAAGAACGTGCAAAAACAAGCAAATAAAGCTCAGTCACAAACTAAAAAAAAAAAATATTTCTCTACTATGGCGGGATTTACGACGTGAAAAGTTGCTAAATACTATGTACCTTAATCTTACAGTACTTTCTCCGCATTGTTTTCAGTGATCCGACGTACTGGTCAATCAATCTGCCGTGCTTAAAAATACATCTAGTAATTACGAATGACGATTATCCAGCTACAGTTATTTGGATCAAATAAACCTGATTTATTTGACTTTTGCAAACACAAGTATTTTTTAACCCTGCGCACAGTTTTAAGTGCAGCTACCCCCCCCCCCCTCCTCCCCGCAATGTGAGTTAGTCTAAAAGCTTATGAAGAAATGTTAAGCACATAATTATAGAACTATTAACAAAATTTAATACTGCTTCCGTAGAGTTCAGAAAGGATACGAAGATGTATTCCTCCAAAACTTTTACCTCTGTAACGACCATTCATGCCTTACCTCCTGCATTCTGAAGATGACGTAAACCAGGTTTGGAAGCAAGAGAATCCCAAAAACGACCAGCCAGCGTTTGCTTTCCTTGTTGCGCTAGTGAGGAAGAGTGTAGATGACATTCTCAACTGCGCCCAAAAGCAACTCGCTTTCAGAAGTATAACGGCTTATGAACGTTTAATATGCGCTACGGTTGACAAGCAAAAATAATCAAAGAAAACAAATGTTCCTTCACTCAGGTTGCCAACATGCTTTGAATTCAAAAACCATCGGGTTTAGTTACCCCCATATATAAAACTCGGAGAGTGGTAACAAAACGAAAAAGAGAGCCGAACGTCATGTTGGACAACATTTTGAACAGTATTGGTAAACAGATTATATTCATTTGTCATAAATAAGGAACATATATAGCACTTTCCAGAGTTCGTTTCAGGATGCAGCTTCCTACCCTTTCTCACCGTATGCGTCGCAACCACGAATGAAACAAAGTTCAGGCGCATCATCCGAAATATTTTCTGAGTGGTTCCTACCACTCGGAAAGTTGTTATAGGTTTTGGTTTCCAGCGAATGTGTTCTGCGTTGCATAAGTCACATTTTAATAGACTCGTTTCTTTCTTTGTGGGCGCCAAACTGCTCCGTATTTGTGTGTGATGTGCTAGGGAATATTTAGGGCTTTCGTTGCCTAAAATATAATGAATCAAAAACAAAGGCCTCAATTAGATAATAATATACATGCTATCAATAATATTGAGCACTCAAGTAGCACATTCCTCGTTCACTTCGAGATCGAGCTTAAAATAGTCGGTGCATAATAGTTCTTATTCTTAAGCCACCACAATAAATGGTGAATGCAATACGAAATGGGATATATAAGGTGACATTGATACCAACGTTGAAAGTAAAAAGGTCCGAAAGATTTTTCGAGCTCTATGTACCGATCTCAAATTTTCATCATCATGCGCATCGCGAAATTCAGAAGTGTAGTTTCACTTATGAGAAAAATGAGGACGTGTTAAAACATTTTCGGACCTATCTCTGACGCAGACAACCGAGGAGGGCAGTGAGTCACCGTTTTAATTTACCGTGTGGTCTTCCGCAATTCGGCTGGTTTTTGCTACCCATCGGGTGTTACTATTTCTTTGTTTTCTCCTTATATTTTATTTTCGGTCGCGCACCTCATATACAAATCGAGAGCTTATCACACAGGCCAAAACTGCCAAGTCACTAGGTGGCGGACGGATATGCAGCGTGAGATGCTTCGCAGAAGTGGGCAACCGCGCGTGCACAAAACATATCCCATGGCCGAGTGTACAAGATTGAAAACTCGCAGGAGGGGCAATTATTGGAATGCAAATATTGAAATCGCACAATGAACAGACATTCCGTCACAAACACATCTAACGACGTGAGCATACTTTAATTACTCGTGTTGTACTAGCAATATTAGACGACACAACGCTACTCGGTCAAATAGACGCTGCCGATTACCGTATTTACTCGACTAAGAGACGCAACACTTATGGGCATGGCCCTTGCGTCTACTTTCAGGCAGAGCAAAGGTGCAGCTAATTCTCGCGTCCTGAATAAGAACATTTAGCAAAAAACAAAGTCGAGAACACGAATGTGCATAACAATGCGCTCTACACACAAAAAAAAAAATCACTTCCTTGCGAGGGCGTAATTTTTGCCCCGTAAATCACTGCCATTTTTCTATCGATTATGATGATTCGAAATATGTGTGCTCCGTGAGAGAGTAGACCCGTAAGTTTTGATGGTAAAAACACTGCGTTTATTACTCGAGTAAACACGGTAGTAACAAAAAAAAATCATCGTCGTGTGCTGTCAAGGATGATCGATGCGCCAAGGGTCGACTTCTCTTTGCGTATGTTTTGCACTGGTTTGGTGCGCACTTTCCAGTGCTCATCACCATGGCAAAACGTATCGAGCCACTGGGCTGTAGAAGCATGCGCGGCGACTGATAGCGCGGAGGAGAGAACGACTGCGCATGCTCAGGAAGCGTTCCAGAGCCCTGTAGGCATTCATAACAACGCGCAGGAGGACGGGGCAATTAAAGCCGATCTATACTATAAGTACAGCCTCGCCCTCTTTCCTGGAAAGTCTCTATCTCCTTTCCCCTCTCCCCGGGTTCTCCCTTATTCATTTATACGCTAGCGCCTCCTAGAGTGCCCTTCCGCCGAGCTCCGCGTTTACGCCGCCGGAGAATGCGAGACCGCGTGCACAAATTGTGGACGGAAGTGGCTAACCGAAACCGGACGGACGCTCGGCCAGTCAGATGTAGTAGGAAGGGGAAGCTAGAAGAGGAGGAGGAGGGTTTTCCTAGAGGGTGGGAGTGTGTAGGAAGGTCAGTCAATGGCGCTACTTTCAGTATAGACGGAATTTATGTTTAATGGCTACGGCAGACCACTCGATTGGTCACGTCACGTGAGAAGACCGGGAGTCGAAGGAGTGCACAACCTGGCAGGCTCACTCCATGTCTGCGCCTAGAGAGCTGACACATTCTATTGCACTTCTAGCTCTTCCAAACAATCGCTTTGCAAATGAAAACGCTAGATCTTAAACTTTTGTGATTAGTGAGCTGAGCAAAGAACAAATATGGAAATATCGGGTTTCATAGCTTGGTCTTAAAGCTGGTTCACATACTTGCGACTGCACGCGATCGGAAAAGCTTAAGACTCGGATTTAAGCCACTTCTGACTGCCTACGACCACCTGTTCTGCTGTGCAGCTGGTCGTAAGAAGTCGCAAGAGGCTTAAAACCCGGTTGTGGCACAGCCGGTCATATTCAACCGCACGTTTTTGAACCAGCCTAAACCTGTCTCCCAAAAATTAATCCAGCTATTAGTCAGATGATCTCGTGAAACGTGACGAAAACTGCATCCTGTTCTTGATATCATTTGCATAACAAATTTATGAATAATTTTATCATACTCACCGCCATAACGCCAGCGCAGGCCCAACCTAAAAGGATGAATGAACCAACTACGATGACGCAGATGTCAAACGTGCTGAGATATACACCTGTGTCCATCACCAGGATGATCATGCTAGCCTGGGCAAAAATCGAAGGCAATCGTACCACGTATTAGTGAATATATAATAGATAGTTTCCACGTTTCAAAAAAAATATTCAGACCATTAAAGTGATAGTGTAACGAACTGCCCACGGATGGCGCCATCTCCCCATTGGGACGCTGTCTTCGTATCTCTGTTGCTTCTAGATCCTTTGCTTTACAGTGTAATAAACCCAGATCGCAACCTGACAAGTTTGTGACTTCTTTTGGCTGCACGACAATCTCGGCACATCCGCGTCTTGTAATTCGGTAACCCTGCGTGAACTGCAAAAGCCGACAGGTTACGGGCCAAGACGACACATCGACTGCGATTACGCAAGCAGCGCCTGAAGAGACTTCAGATGAGCGATGAGATGTGCGAACACGTTGAATGAACATATCAAGCGTCGCCGTTTTGCTTCACCACGCCAATGTCTGCCTACGTTTTGACAAAAATCGTGAGTGTGGTGAAACTGTCGGGAAGAAATGAATGACGCGGTGTGTGCTCGTGAAGAAGAAAGAAGTGGTGCGTGTTTTCACACGAACGGAGCGCCCTACAACACCTATCTAACCACGGACTCCACGCGGAATGTGTGCTGAAGATATCGACAGGGTGATTCAAGGAGACGCCAGGCTCTTTAAATCGACCGCGAAATTCGGTTTCTTAACCTATCGCGCTACGATTTTGTGCAGCGTTGCCCACAGATGGGGCATTTTTTTTTTTTTTTTGTAAAATTGGCAAAGAGCAAACTTACCTGAGGAAAAAGTAAAAAAAAACAAAAAGGCTTAGCTCCAATGGAAACGCAGCGACACCACCGGTCTTCAAACAACACGGCGCCGTTTCGCACGGGAGACAAGAGATGGCGCAATGAACGCCGCCAACGAACGAGCATACGGCGCCGAGAGCCAGCGTCTTTAGCAGACAATCTTTTCGACTCAAAAGCGGCGCGCGTTCCGCAGGCGGCGACAGTCGCAGCATTGTAGTCGCAGACACAAAAACAGGCTCGGTAACAACAACGAACTGCAGTTCCTTGTCTGCTAAATACGCCGGCTCTCGGCGTCGTACGCTCGTTCGTTGGCGGCAGTTGGCGTCGCGACCGCTTGCGCCATGCGAAACGGTGCCGTGTTGTTTAAAAACTGGTGGCGTCGCTGCGTGTCCATAGGAGCTAAGCCTTTTTCTTCCTTTACTTTTTCCTCAGATAATTTCGCTCTTTGCAAATTTAAAAAAAAAAAAAAAAATTGCACCATCTGTGGGCAACGCTGCACAAAGTCGTAGCCCGATAGGCTAAGAAACCGAATTTTGCGGTCGATTTAAACTTCTTTGATTAGTTGGTCTTCGAAGACCTGCCCTATGCGGAAGCCATTAAAATAATAGTTTTTATTTAAGTCGGCCTTTCGATATGTTAGTGCAAGTACTCCATCACTGTTAAGAGACACACTCAACAAACATTACACTTGTTTTGTTAATGTTAGATGTGAAATCAATGGTGTATGGTAAATGAGTGACGTTTTAAGGCGACCTGCAGTAATTTTATAGAAGCGTTAAAATCACTTAAGTAATTATCTGCATTCTACTTGCTTAGTGGAGCTCCACAGCTCTCCCGGCTATCTCTTTTTCCCGCTTAACAACAAAACAAAGTACATACACAGGATTCACAGTTTATCGACGCAGCAATTGCCAATAATGGTAAAGCAACATACTGGAGTTTATTAGTATCTATTCCGTAAATTTTCAATGAACATCAAGAGAAAGTATAGTACCCGTGAAGTTCCTTCGTAATATACTTAGGAAATAATAATATAATTATACTTCAATAGTTAATCTTTAGTACACTGGTAGTAGACACAATACAGCTTGATACAAACCAAGTACATTTACTCATTTTTTATTTGCAAGTATACCTGTAAATACAAAAAAAAATCAAAGTGCACTTCAAGTATACTGTCAGCAGGCTGCCCTTAAAAAGTGTGCGTCTAGTATGCGACGTACATCTTTAGTGTATTGCTTTTTACCAAGGTTGGCATCAGAGCTGTAAAGCACCGAGATGGCCGAAGTATCGTTACTTTAAAGCCTAGCCCATTTAGAAGCTCTAGTATGGAGAACGCGGTCAAAGAACAATCTAAAAGAGTTGGAGTAGGTTCAAACGCCCACCTGGAGTTGTACGTCTAACATTATGAGAGTCAAAGAGGAGCAGAAGATGTGGATCCTCTGTTGGGTTTCGTTTTTGCCGCTGACGCGGTAGACCAGCCACGTGGTTTGCTTGCAGTAACTGGGCAAAATGTGAAGTCCCGAAAAGGCGAGGATTCCAAGGAAAAAGAACGTGGCCAAGCCGAACCGCACCTGGTTTTTAAAGGAAATTGTTTTTGTTTAATCCATCTGCTGAAAGATTAGAGGACGTTTAAAAAACTCAGAATAGTCTAACGTTAACTTAAAAACACTCGCTTCGAGCCCAGTACGTGTTTACTTGCTTTCAGGAGAGATGCTTCTTTCTTTTTAGTACCGAGGAAAGCAAAAATTGAATATTGTCACTTTTTTATCTACTACTTTTTTGATATCCTAGTGGGTTTTTTTTTTGGTTTTTTTTTTTTGTTTTAATAACAAGTACTGAGCATATGCGAATAAAAAATAGACATAAGTATTCGGCTCAGCTGTGCGGAACCCCTTTTCCATGTAAACATTTGTTATGTTTTTTTTTTACCTCTCGCGTTAGTTTATTGCACATTACGAACCAAAACAATTGTGATGTTTACCTGAATACAGTAGTAAACATTGCACTGTTTTTTCATGTACTAAAAAGAAATAAGTATAACACTACAAATAACATTGAGAAAGATACAGAAATAAATTCCTTCATGAACTTGATACCATGGAAATTGATTTTAAATGATGTCTACTGTTTAAGTGCCTGTGGGGTACTAATTAAGGGGCCCAATACCCTTGCACAAGGAGAAAAAAGTGAGTGTTTTATATGTTATAAGTGTCACAGATTTATTCTCTGTGGTATTTAGACAAAGTACAAAAATTATTGCACCGCCCCTTTATATCTGCTCAGAAGAGGTTTCTAAGATCGCCTAAATATGGCGATCCATCAATCAATTAATCAATCGATCAATCAGTCAGTGTTTTATTGTGCCCCAAACAGCTGGTAAGGCCATAGGAGGGTTACACTTCCACAAAGTGAAAAACAGTCTTACCAAAAATATTTTCACACTTAAGATGAGGCTCAGTAATAGACTTTTTTTAAAAACATGCAAGGGTAGTGAAAAACCGGTAAGTTGGGCGAGTTGGTTGAACATCTTCAAACGTGAAAATAGCACTAAAATTTGATAAAGGACGAGTGAAAGAAGTGGACGCGACCGTGCACTTCTTTCACTCCTCCTTCGCCAAATGTTTACGCTGTTTTCACGTTTGAAGGTAGTGAAAAGGTTCGCGTCAGGCCTAAAACAATTGTCATAGAGTTAGAAGGCTAAAAGAAACGGTAGACCGGTTTTGTCGCTCTGGGAACATGAAGTGAGATTCTTTTCGATAACAGGGAAGAATCAACAACAGCGTTCAGCAGCTCATATATAAAAAAAAAGATGTCACTAACTAGTCGTCTATTAGAAAGAAGCGAAAGACGAAGTGTATTCAAGAGACGCACGTAATAATAAAAATACCTCCGTCCAACGTGGGGATCATAGATAATTGTTAAAAATCGTCGGCTGTACACACTCCAACCTTAGCATTTGACTGACGCCCAGGGAATTTCGCACAGTAGAGTTCAACCTTGGTGAAATTAATGACCGAAGTAGGTGTGGTATGCAGGTGTGTTGATTTCGGATTTCAATGGAGAAAAGAGAGGATGACGACGAGGAGGAATGCTGATGTAGCTGGTAGACTGTGTGTTTGTGAGCACGGAGAAAATTCGGCGCGACTGGCCGGTGGTGGAAAAAGAAGTAGAAGGAAGCCAGGAGGCGACAGAACAGGACGAGCGATCAGGACCCGGTGGACGAAAAAACCGACCCGCAACGATGGGCGTGGTCGACACGGCTTCAGTTCGTCGTCCACCAATACAGGCCTGGTCAGCGGGCCTCCGAGGCTGCCCGGACACTACTTGGAGCCACACCCTTCAAGCCATCCTGTCGTCCACTACCCGGCCCCAACGCGCCATTCTACCTGGCATCGAGACTTCGGAGTGTCAACCATGACCAGAACCCAGACCCGCTTCACAGACACTGTGATGGACTACTTTTAATTACCCTTTAAGTGTTAGATTTTGCGATAATTAATGTTTGGATTTGCCCATTCTCGAGTTGTTTAACGCTTTAATATATTTCCGTACTGGCCAAAAAATGTCGTCTCTTTCTCCATACTCTTCGCGTCACACACCCACGCAAGCGTGAACACGGTCCACTACAGCAGGTGTAATTGCGGAACTTACGAGTAATGCTTGCAATTGCGCCTTAGATGAGTAAAGAATCATTGATAATATTTGAAACATGATATTAAAATTGAGTTGTCAGTCACTCAAAACATCAAGGCCACCTACAACTGAAGATCTTGAAATATCTGAGTCATGAAATTTTAAGTCATGAACACTAACATTTTTTTTTTTTACGGGCGGAAGAAAGAATCTCAGGCTTGGTGGTGTTTAAAAGCAGCGAGATTGTGCAAAACTACAGGTGAATCGCATCAACATCATTTTATAACAGTTCAGAGTCAACAGGCGTGCGGATACCACAATAAAGTTTAACGTCGTCAGCGAAGTGTAACATCCCAGAGTTACTGCCACAAGTTGCAAGGTTATTTATATAAAAAAAAGCGCAGGTGCAGGGTTCGACCCTGTGGCACTCCGGAATTTATCACATAATAATGTGATTTGCATCTTAAATAAGAAACCATATTTTAGCAATTATTAGGGAGCTGTCAAACTAGTGGCAAATACCCGAAGAATGACCCATATTGAAAAGCTTCTTCGACAATAGATTGTGATCTTTTACATAAAACACCTTAGAATAGTCAAAATAAATAACATCAACCTGGCGACGACTCACTCTGTGGGCTTTCAGCATCCTAGAAATCCATAAGTCATAACGATACGCGGCCAATTTCCCTATTAAAAAGCAACCAAAGATCGCAACACACCAAGGTCATGTACGGCGATGGGAGGAGCATGTTCCAAAAGCAGGACCATTGCCAATCAATAGAGAGTGAAGGACCCTCGCGCCTCCGACAGGTTGAACCGCGGAGTGATATCTGGAATACACGCGGCTCGATCATTGCCCATACAGCCCCGACTACGATTCAGCCCAGCGAGCTCGCGTGTGAGAGCTGACGACACAGCACTCCCGCGGAAGAAAGAAAATGAAAACGTATTGCGCTGTTTATAGGACAATTATTGGAGTATTAATTATGTTGCCTCTCTGCGAAAAATTAGCACTTTTTAACTACTCTTATTTGATTTTATCATCTACGAAACCCTACATACTTTGAAATAACAGTGTTTGCAATCTTAGCGAAATGTCGCGTTTTCATTACACATATGTCGTCCCGGCAGCCGGATCTATGCTCCTCCCATCTTTGGAGATGACCTCGGGTTTCGATTGCTTTTTTTCATATGTAAATTGGTTGCACATCGTTATTCTTTATGAATTTCTAGGACGCTTAGAGCCCGCAGAGTGAGTTATCGCCAGATTTAGGCGATCTCAAGAACCTCTTCAGAGCACCTTTACGGTAGAAGACCGAACCTTTGAACATCCAATGAAGTCTCACATATGTCAGGGACAGGTTTAAGTTCGCCTCGTGGGTTGACGTTAGGTTGACGATGAGGTAGATCTCCAGGACCACGGCGCTCACAATGAAGACGATGATGTCGAAGGCCAGCTGCTGCGCCACGCCAATGCACAGATGCCAAATGCAAGCAACTGCGAGCACGAAAACCACATACGGAGAAAGAAGTTGTATCGAAAATAATTCTGACTTTTATTCTCTTACTATTGTTTCCAGTAAACACTGTAACACAGCATCCTATTGTACTGTAGTCAGTTTGATTCTCAAAAAATTGGAGTAAACGGGTCATGTGACAAAAATAAACAAAATGCAGCGCAAAAATAAAAACAAACATGAAGGTAGGACAAAATACCTTCCCACGGCATTTTTGTGTTGTTAATAATAATATTATTATTATTATTATTATTATTATTACTACTAAAATAACTTGATACTTGGGTGGCTTCGTTTTGTCGTCATTTTACTCATCCTAAAATTTCGCTCACAGACTGAAAGAATTGCGGTATTCTTTTCCCCCGGGATGCGCTATACTTGTACACCATCAATCTCAATCGAAGTGCGACCGTAGCCGATGTTCCGATCCTACGGAGCCAATCATGCAGCAAGAAAAGTGCACTGTAACGGCGCTCACCCTCTTTGGGTGTCTCCTATCACTGCACGACCAATTACGCGCAATAAACGCGCCGTCATCCCGGTCTTTTCTGTTTTGTTTTCTTTTTGTGCGTCATAGGTTTACACTGTAAGAGCAACCCTCCAACGACAACGAGCGTCGTGTTGATGGACTCATGGCTTTGTTTGATTGACGCCATAGAATCCTATACTTCGTTTCAGCTTCGGTCCGAGCGCGGCCGATGTTATGAGCCGAAGGGCCATTCAAAGAGCGCAAAAAGCGCAGCGTCATGGCGTGCTCTCTGCGCTGGATAGGACTAGCCGGCAGAGGAACGCGCACAGAGGGACGGCGAATACCGGCTGGTCCTATCAACTGCAGAGAGCACGCCATGGACGTTGTGCCTCTTTCGCTGTTTGATTGGCCCTTCGGCTCATAACATAGGCCGCGCTCGGAACGAAGCTGAAACGAAGTATAGCACTGGCTGTGGCTGGACTCAAAGGGGAGAACTCCGGCGAAATATTGATGATCATCGATTTTCAGAAAATTTTCAGCATATATTAAACATCCACCCGTGAGTATGTCTGCCTAATATGACAGCAAAGCTCTACATGGCTAGAGTTCCATGTATTTTTGGTGTCCGTGTGTAGAAAATAAATTGCATGTAACCGCTCTCTCCATTATCTGGAAATTCATATACGCCCCGTTACCTCCATATGCATTTTGATAAGGAAAGACGTCGAAAGATCCTAAAACAATTGCTCTTCTCCCGCTCGAGTCGGGTGACGTCACTGCTTTACATATATATATATATATATATATATATATATATATATATATATATATATATAGATATATAGATATATAGATATATATATATATATATATATATAAGCGGCAGGTTTTATATATGTAAAGCGTTCTACGTAAAGAATAGACCATTTGCAGTGTTCCCAAACTCCCCGGCCCGCACTCAAGGAATCGTAAGAACGGTGTTCCTTCAGCTGTTCAGAACATTTTATTCCACAAAAATGCACGCTCGCTGCACGCAACAAACATATTCAAGGGTCTCGCGGGGGACTGATCTGTAGTATCAACTAGAGTTTAAGGCCCATTAAACAGTAAAAAGTTGATCATGACGCGACCCCTCACCACACAAAGGTAGCGGCACGACCACCGGCGGAGGAACTCTTGTTCGCCAAGGGTCGCCTGGTCGTCCAGGTAGGCGGTGAGTTCTTTTCGGATGTCCCACAACAGCGGCCACAACGCGCGGCGTCGTTGTCGCTGGGCCGTCGCGACACAACGGTTTCGCCACAGCACCCACTCACATATTGCCACTAGTAGCAGCGCAAAGGCGCCCCGCGGGCAACGGCCTTGTGTGACGTATACGTCCATTCCGAGACCTCGAAACAAGCGCTGTATTATGCGCCATAGGTCCCTCGCCGGTACACACTCTCTCACGACGTGCGCGTTTGTTTCTATTGCACCACAATTGACGCACTGTGCGTCCCGTACCACTACCCAGCGGAAAAACCTGTCTTTTTTTGGGAGGACACCCCAACCCTTTAACCATTCAAAGTCGCGCACGCGGTCCGGTAGCGTGGACGACGTCAGTGCCAGCCACGGGTACGGCTGCACCGCGCCCGGCGGCGGCGGGGGTTGGTCTGCCACCACCGTTTACCAAGCCTAGACGCCGGGGCCTCGAGTATCTCCTCTCGTGACACGTGGACGCTGAGCTTGTCGAAGAGATCCGCGGTAGACCTGTAAAATGCAGGGGTCGTCTCCGCGCGGGGCCGAAGAGGGCTCGGAAGAGAGTCTCCCAAAAGACGGTTATTGGCGCCGAGGAAGTAGAGCGTGAGCGGCCGTGCTGGGTTGTCGTGGTCGTCAAGGACTGCCAGGGTTGTCTTCAGGGCCAGTATGGGCGCTGCCAGCTCGATGCACGGAAAGCTCCACCCTCCTTCACAGCGGGGGAGGCATAAGCGGGAGCGCCTCACGAGTTCAGTGGGGTTGTTCCAGAAGAAGGTAAACAACGCCGAGCGCACTTGGAGGATGAAGGGGCGCGGCGGGAGGGCTACGCGGGCCACATGCCACAACCTTCCGCAGAAAACCGTCTGAACAAGGTACCGCCGCACAGCCATGGGGAAGTCGTAATGGTCAGCCTCAGCGGCCTTCTCTATGATCTCTTGACGCAGGTTGGCCCAGGTCTCCGGAGCCACGCCGGAGGCGTCGTACGAGATTCCAAGGATGGTAACGGACTGGGCTCGCGGCAGAAATGGCGGGCACGTGGGGGGAGCCCCGATACAGAGAGATTTGCTTTTTTCAGAATTCAACCGTGCGCCGGAGAGGCACGCGTACTCGTCGAAGAGTCGGAGGGCCTTCACCAGGCTGTCTTCGTCGCGCAGGTAGAGTGTCACGTCGTCCGCATACGCCGAGACGCGAAGCTCACCGGACCCAGGTAGAGCAAGTCCGCTTATGCTGGGGTGCCTGTCGACTCCAACCAGGAAGGGCTCTAAGCTGAGGACGAAAAGTACCGGGGACAGCGGGCACCCCTGCCGAACTCCTCGCGTTACCGGAAAGCGTGCCACTAAGGAGCCATTCAGGAACAAGTCACTCCGCAAGTCACTGTACAAGGCTGCGAACAGCTGAGCACTCTCGGAAGAGAAGCCAAACCCGTCGAGAACACCGAGCAGGTATTGGAGCTCGACGCGGTCGAGCGCCTTGGCTTGGTCCAACGACACGAGAAACCCGTTCGCCCGTCGGGAGCATGTGAACTCCAGGATGTCGCGTGTGAGAGTCGTCAAAGTATGTATGCTGCGGCCCGACACCGAGCACGTCTGTGGGGGGTTCACCAGCTCCGGTAGGAAAGTTTGCAGACGCGAGGCTAGGGTCGCCGCGAGGAGCTTGTAGTCACTGTTTAACAACGTTATCGGGCGCCATGCCCCGGGGTCGGCATGGTCACCACCCTCCTCGGGGATGAGTACGATCCGTCCCAGCCGAAAGGATGGCGGTAGGAGGAGGTCTTCAAAGTAGACCCGCACGACAGCGGTAAAGAAGTTCCCGAGAATGTGCCAGAACGTGCGGTAGAACTCCGCTGGGAGACCGTCCGGCCCTGGTGCGGAGCCGTTCTTCATCCACTTCAAAATGTTCCACAGCTCGGTCGCGGATGGGGGCCGCCGCAGGCCCGAGTCATCCTCGGCGGAGATCTTGGGGAGGCCGCTGAGGAGAGTGTGCGAGGACACCGAATAGCGATCTACCGGCGCGTCCGACTAGGCCAGCGATCGGAAGTGGGCTGCGAAGCGACCATTGTCAAGGTGGCCGGGCGACCCCGACGCGGAGGGCGTCTGCTGTCTTTCAAAGACTTGTAGGCTTGTGCGATGGGTGTAGCGCAGTACCTCCGGGTGGACCGACGGGCTCCCCTGAGCCTGCAAGACAGTACCCGCAGTGGAGTCCCACCGAAGGTATCGTTCGTAGCGTCTCTGCAGCTGGTCGAGGTACGCCCTCATGAAGGGGGTCAAGGCGCCCCCTCGGCGGACGATACAGATTCGGAGGATAGTGTCTTGCAGAAGCCCTCAATGCCGTTCGCGGAGGTGCCGTCCCATCAGAGTGCTGAAGCTTTGCCATTGACCTTTTAGGCGGTCCCAAGACGCCGGCTCTGGGCGCACGCCCACTAGCGACTCCTTGACCAGGTTGCCTAGCGTGCGGCGCGTGGTCTCCTCGTGGAGTATCCTGGAATCCAGACGCCACGGACGTGAGGAGCCTGCGACGGCAGAGTCGAAGCAGAACTTGATAAGTAGCGGACGGTGATCGGAAATCTCTTCTGGGCACGACGGGAAGTCCACCGCAGTACAGGTCTGTAGCGCGGCAGATAGCGTGCGAGGCAAGTACAGCCGGTCTATGCGACTTCCCGAAGCCGCTCTGTTCCACGTCGACTGGCGGTGGATCCATGCAGTAAGGACCATCCGTCTACGAGGTCGAAGGGCCTCACAAGCCGCCGAAGTTCACGGGCGGACCAGGTTGAGCGACCCTGACCAGGACCCCGAACGTCGGCGTTAGAGTCCAGAACGCAATTGAAGTCGCCGACCAAAAAGCACGGGCCCGCGTCGAGTAGATGCACGTCTAGGCTGCGGAAGTAGTCCTGCTGGAAGGTCGATACAGTTGGCGCGTAGGCAGTGACGAGGCGAAATTTTCCTTCACCGAAGAAAAAGTCCAAACGAAGAGTCCTTCCCTCCGTATCAAAAAGATAAGTGGCATTGCGGAGCAGACTGCGATTGCAGACAACCACGCCCACGCCCGTCGCGCGGCGCGGCGCGTAAGAAAAAAAAGCAGTCACAGAAAACCGGGCTTCGAAATCCGCAACGTCACGGAAGCGGGCAAAGTTGGTGTCTTGCAAGCACAGAAGATCGCAGTTCTGAATCCTCGCGAAGTGCATCACTTCAGTTTGCTTCGCTGGGTTTCGAAAGCCCCGCACATTCAGGGATAATATGCGAAGGGTGGCCAGTATAAAGTAAAAAAGGGGGATAGGGACGCCGGCGTGTTGCTTAAAACGTGGAGCTGTCGGACGATGCTGGAGAGGGGTCCCGACGCGAGGGGGAGGACTTTCGCGGTTTCTTGGGGCCCGTGGCTCGTGGGCCCCCACTGTCAGTTGAGCGGGAACCGCTGCTCCTGAGGGGACGCTTGGAGTCCTCGTGCGGTAGTCGGCTCGAGTCGGACTCCGGTGTGTCAGTTGTGGTCGTATCCATACTGTCGGTCGGTGCCTCTGCAGGGCCACCTGGAGCGGGGTTCTCGTCGATGACGAGGTGGTCGCTGTCGCTGGGCACCTCGCCATCACCCGACGCTTGGCTCCACGCTGCATAGGCGGTGTCGCCGACAGCAACCGCGGCGGTTCGGGCAGAGTCCGTCGCTTCGGCTGAAGTCATCCCCGAGCCGGTCGGGCTTGGCTCGGGTGGGGCGGGTGGGGGTGGCGACGGAAGAGGCGGTGGTGCGGCCGCGGCTGCGGCGTCAGGTGGTGACGGAGGTGCGACGGTGGAGACGGTTGGTACGGCCGGAGCTTCGGGGGCGATGGGACAGGTCACGTTTCCTGGGTCCAGGGCCGGGAAATCGGTGGCGTAGTTTCCGGTGACCATGGAGGAGTAGCTTCTCTTGGCCGTGCAGTCCACAGTCGCGTGGGTTCCACCCAGATATGTACAAATTACTCAAAAAAGGTAGTTAAGTTAAGTTACTGAGTATCGACGCCAAAAGTAATTGGAGTAGAGTAGAAATTACGCATTAGTAATAGTAATTGAGTAAACTACTAACTACTCTAAAAAGTAGCGAGTTACTTTCAAGTTACTTTCGAAGTTACTTTTTTATATTTTTGTGGTAGCAAAATGAACAGCAGTTTTGATCAATGAAAAACCCTGCGAGCCTAAAATAAATGCAGTCTAGTTATAGCTTGCGTTTTCGCCAAAATAGTTTATTCTCTCGCAGAAGCAATTGACTTTCAAAGTTCTTAATAGGAGAGTTTTCCCCTTTTCCTTTTAAGGACGTCCCCAGCCAAGCTCAACAGACTTTCCACCGTGGCACTGAAGGGTACGTCAGCGTTGAATTTGAGAAACAGGCTGTGGAGGGTCGACTAAGGGAGTGTCGGCATCTTAAGTGTCCATGACGAAACATGTGAGGTTTGCCTCGGGAAGAGGGTCTTTTATAACAAACTTTCCTCCTTTTTTTTCTTTTTTCTTCGTCAAGTTGAGATTGTTATGACTGGCCCCTCTTTATTCCGACGTCGTTCTGAGAGTACGCTGAGCGAATGCACCAGACCGTCAAGGGTTCAAGTCTCGCGCCAGGACGATGAGATCATCCGGACGACTGCGCGTCCCGTTGTAGTGCTAGTGCTACGCTACTGAAAAAAGAAATGTTTTGGTCTAACAGAAGATGAACCGAAGTATACTTCGCCGCTGACGCCGGGTCCAACAAAAGGATCTCCCAAGGGTAACTCGCAATCCTCGCCGGCGACTACAATATTCTGACGCGCCTGACACGCCTGACAAGTAAATCGTTTTAACAAAGAGTTGGTCTCCTTGGCGTCAATTGACACGAAGGATTACGTGAACAAGCATCGTCGCTCGTATACAGTTGCAGCTGGAAGCGGGAACGTGCTTCAATGAACGGATCATCCGTGCCAGGGTTTGTGCGCGGGGGAGTCCGGCTTTGCAAAGGCGTATGCGCTGACGACAAGGCGACCATGGGAACAGGCGCCCAGCTGCGAGGTCATTCCAGTGGCGCCTCCCGTGGAACCTACCGCTTGAGTCAGAACTCTCTAAAGACAGACAACAACTCTCGGAGTGTCCCCGTCTTTCACGGTTGCAGCTGGAAACGCGGCGCCTGCGTGCATTACCGGATTAGGTCAATACCCGACCAAGGCTTGTTAAGCATCTCTTCCTGCATTCGTGCGTGCCGGTGTTATGTTTTGGCTGCTCGTCGCCACCTTGACCCAAGGACGCCTTCCCGAACAAGGGGGCCCCTTGTTAGGGAATGCCTCTCATCTGCCGGCGTCTTATTCATATCTGCGGTCAAACTTTCGTGATGGGCAAAATTAGCACTATATAATTTCGAAAGTAGTTAGTAATTTGAGTAGAAGTTACCTGAAAAAAGTAGTTAAATTAAACTACTAATTACCCAAATCCAATTGTAATTGAAAGTTACCAAGTTACTCAAAAAAGTAGTTAAACTACAGTAGTTTGAGTAGAGTAGTTGAACTACGTCCAAGTCTGGTTCCACCGCAGCGTCCACAGTTGGCAGTGCAGCCCTCAGTTGGGTGCCCGAAGACACCGCAGCGGTCGCAGTAGCCCGTCGTACACTGTGCCCGGACGTGGCCCTCCTGCCTGCAGCGTCGGCATACGCGCTTCAGGCCGCGGTAGTCAAAAGTAGCACGATGTCCGGCGACGTGCAGAAAGTTGGGCAGGGGGTTAGCCTCCTTCATCTCCATGCGGATGAAGCGGCTTCCTGTTTTCACAGTCTCCGTTCGGTGGTAGGTTGCGTAGGAGACGTCGATGACTTTGCCGTACGGGGCCAGGGCTTGGACGAGCTGGTCGTTGCGCACAAACGTCGGCCGGAAGAGGCAAGTCACATTCGTCACCAGCGGACCCGTCGGCACGATGGGGACTGACTGGTTGGCGATGGAGACGCTGCCGGCCTCACGAAGCTTGAGGGCGGCTGCACGGGTGTTGACGACGACTTGGAAGTTTGTACCTCCTAGGTGCTGCGCCGAGTAAATTTCGGGCAGCCCCACAATGGCGGATATCCCATCAATCAGATCGTCCGCCAATGTGCCTACTGGCACGACAACGTCGAAAGCGCGCGCTTTCGGCGGGGGAGAAGATTCCGTCGACGCGGCCGTCATGGCGGTTCGCACCCTCGCCGGGGCGCTCGACGACACGTAGCCAGGGACCGCAGAACGCAGGCCCCGGACGAGATGCAGCCAGGAAGCCAGGAACTCAGGAACAGCGACGAGGTGTTTCAGCTCCCTCGTGATCGCTAATTTTTGACCAACTTCATGGTTACACAGTTTTAGAGCGCAATTCGAGGTCACACTGAACAAGCACCGGATATACGCCAAGGACCTGTCATATCACTTTTAAAATTGCTCGTCAGCGTCAGCATTTTTGATACTGCACCTGCGGTCCACCTTTCAACCTGGCTGAGCTGCAGAAACCTCTTATAATATTATCATTCTCGTGATTGTTGTTTGAGCAGGAATTGCTTAAAAAGCCAAGAATTCACAACAACAAAAACCAGGATTTAGCTCGGAGTCCGCGGGGCTGTTTATAGCATTTTTTGCGTTTCTAACTTAATATCAGCATGATAATAATGTAAGAGATTTCTGCAGCCCATCCAGGTTGAAGGGTGGACAGCATGCACAGTATCAAAAACGCTAACATAGAAGAAAAAGTTTAAAAAGCGATATGACAGGTCATTAGGGTATATCAGGCGCTTGTTCAGGGTGACTCCGAATTACGCTCAAAACCTGTGCAACCAAGAATAGGGTTGAAATTACCGATCACTAAGGGGCTGACGGAACACCGTTCCCATGATTCTTTTAGCGCGGGCCGGAGCACTTGGCGGATATAGCAAATGGTCTATTAACTTTAGCAACAAGTCTCACCAAAATTTTAATGAAGGCCATTGGTGTATATCATAGTGATCCCAAAGCAATCATCACTACCGTATCGAAATTATGTATATATACTGTAAGTAAACATTTGGTGAAGTGCTTTTGTGCGTCTCTTGGTGAATCATGTTGTGTGGTGCTCTACAGCTTTGCTGGCCAGCCACCTTCACAGAGTAAAAAGGCTCACCATTTTTTTTTTAAATATTAATCTTATTTTGAGAATATAGATTTTAAAATTTGTGCGCGCACCTTCGAATTACTTGCAGCCGCTCGACTAGCAACAACGAGCAGGGGCACTCGTTACGTCAAATGTTGTATCCCAGAGCAGACGACGCTCCCTATACTACAGGGCGTTGTGCGTTGTAGTGATAGTGAGCGTCTGTGATTTCGCGAATTGCTACTGGTTTAGACTGCCTGCAGCATGCAGTGGAGGGGGGCAATTGGTGATTGGCTGTGAGGTGACACCACGAAGAAATGCAGCAGAGTCGTATCTTATTGGTTTCTGACCGAGAAGTCTCCGCGACGGAAGTGGCTCCTAGCAGTCCGACGCGAAAACTGGCTCCTAGCCTTCGCGGTGTGTTATACAACAGTTCACACCTTGCTAGCAAATAAAACATTCCAGGCCATTCTGCTTTGAAGCGGTATCTGGGTAAGCGTGTCGGCGGATCGCGAATGCAGTCCCTACGTGAAGATCCCTCAGAAGCGATCCGGGGGATCAAATGCGAACGGCGAATCCTCTTATACCTCGTGCTGAATATAATTAATCCTCTGCTTTTCATTGTTTCACTAAGACAACTTAATGAATCGTAGCCCATTACATTCTACGCTCAATCGCGACGTCCTTCTGACTGCTTCTGACGCTGGACGAAACAGGTTCAAGCTGCCCAAGTGCTGATGTTCATAGGTTTGACCTGAGCACAAGAGGGCGGTCAAGTAAAGTTGCAAGTTAGCTTCGGTTTGGGTAATGTCGTATTTCTACTGTTAAAAATTACTTTAAAGTTTTGGCGAATATTTACTCTATCCTTAGGCTCAGTTTCCTGTACTCTTTCAGAAAACATGTATAGCTCAAAACGATCAAATTAAAGCCGAAGGAAATCGACGCCCATGTTCCATTTAAAGTGAAACCAAGTGAAAATTTTGACAGCTCAAGAAAGGCAGAGCGGGACGAGTACCCGATTTTCGCACCGCAGCCAATGCGGTGGCAATCAGGTTTTCGAACGAAGTTTCATCGACAAATTGTTTCGTCGATACTGTGACGTTTCATCGACGAGTTGTAACGCCAAAAGATTCCTGCGTTCGTTTCAGCGACACATTTAGCGACGCTTCGTCGAAAGCGCCTTTCCTCGAAAATCGCCTCGGTCCCAGGCGTTTGGAAAGTAGCCTAGCTTGCCGAGCCCATGGCGGTTCCGACGAGGACTGGTGGCAAGCTTGGCAAGCCTGAGATTATATGAAAGCTTTCCCGAGCAGAGAAAGCAACCCCCACGCGGAGTCCGTATCGTTTCGTCGAAACACTTATCATGAAAACACACTTGGTGACCAACTTTTCGTGGACACACATTTCGTTTACACTACGATTTTTCAGCGAAAGTCGTGGACACATGCCCCTAAAACGTCTCCCTGACAACCTTTTTTTTATATAATAAGGAAATTTAATCATATATTTCATTTAGTCTCATGCCAAAATTAAAGCGGACTCACTTAGGCTGTGTTCGAAGTCTTACCGAAATGGATCCGAATTCCTAAAGCGGGTCGTGTCACGTGACAACACAAACTAAAAACGCTGGACGCCGGTAGGTTTTTTTAACGCAGAGGTACAAAACCTTTACCCTCAAGTAAGATCGAATGAATTAGGGAACACGGCCTTAGGCGGCTCGTAGAAGGCAAAAACGATTTGGCATGTCCTAATTTAAGGTTTCCAAATATTCTGCACTACGCGCGAAGACCCTTCCCTTCCCTAGAGAAACTTTAATATATTCTCAGGCCCGAGCTTGCACCAGGCCTCATCCAAAAAGGGTTCGGCAAGTTGGACGGATGGCGGCGACCGAAATGATGTGGGCGGAAGCATCGGAAAGTATGAACTGGAGTTCGCACTACAGCATAAAGAAACAACGTGTCGCAAAGGAATTGAAACCCAAGTGCTTTAATCTAAAACAGGGGCTCCAAACGCTTCGGCTAAGGGGCCGGATTGAGGATATTGTCACGAATGAAAGTGACGAGGAGGAACAATGAACTGAAAATAAAAGGTTTAATCGTCGAACTTGTGCCAAAGAAAATAATAAGGAACGAGCGTCGAGGCAGCAGAAAAGCGGGAGGCGATTCAGCGGCGTAACAGGGAGCGAGAGCGAGACTGACTCGACAAGGTCGCGGGCAGCTGCTTATTTACAGTGTGTCACTATCTCGAAAGTTCGGCAAAGAAGGTTCGAGCGTCGCGGGCTCGGGGTGAGGATGAACTGGCAGTTTCGAGAACAAGAAAGCAAGACGAAAGTTACAAACGGAACCAGAACAAACGCGAATCATCTAGAAGTCCGTGACCGAACGTTGCTTTCTCGGTCCTGCGGGCGGCAATATGTCTCGGTGTCGAGGGCCAGTAGATAAACAAGTGTATATAAATAAGAAAATGCAAAAAAAAATCTTAAGATAAGAATAAGTCTTATAAGAATCTTATAGGAATATACAAAGATTTCCACTATAAAAAATAAAAAAATAAAAAAAACTTTCAGCCTTTCCACTTGTAGGAAGACCAGCGAAGCTGTACTATGGGTGAACGACCTCAAAGACGACATCTAGGACGACCTCAAGGACGACTTCTTTTACGACCTCAAGGACGACGTTTAGGACGACCTCAAGGGTGACTTCTACGACGACCTCAGGGACGACGTTTAGAACGACCTCAAGGACGACGTTTAGGACGACCTCAAGGGTGACTTCTTGGACGACCTCGAGGACAACTTTTAGCACGAACTCTAGGACGACCTCAAGGATGACTTTTAGGACGACCTCGAGGACAACCTCACGGACATTATCAAGGATTACCTCAATGACCACCTCAAGGACGACCTCGAGGACGACATCTAGGACGACGCCTAGAGAAATTCAGCTTTTCTGCTCTGGTGAAAACCAGAGTGGAAAGGCTAGAAAGGTTGCCGCCATCTATGAGCGAGGCCGGTATACCAGTTTTCTGATTGCCGCCGTCGCTCATAGATAGCGGTAGCTGTCCAGAGTTTCGTGTCGACATTTCTTTGCGGGGGACACGATCCTGGGGAAACTAGACCTTAACAGCTCCGCCGTATAAACTGGAAAGTGGATCAATACATGTACCTTAGTTGTTTTTAATTCGATATGTTGCTAAAATATGACATTGCAAAATAAATGTTACCAATAAAAATTAATCCAAGTGCATAGAATCTTTCGTATATTCATGAAAAGTAGAATGCTTATGAGAATGGTAGATTTAATGACGATAAAATGCATTACTTATGTCACAGGACGTTAAGCACGATCAACAAGAGTATGGAAAGGAAGTTCAACAAGATATAAAGAAGGAAGTGATGCTGGTGATGACAATGTACACTGAATAGTATGGCGAGAGAACCCGTGCTTCGATGCAACAATTTCTCGTTTTTGTATTCTGATATCTTCGTTCGCGCTTTTGGTGCGCTTCTCGGCGCCGTTCCTGTACGCGCGTTTTTTTTCTACGCTGGTAGTCTCTGAAAAGATCACGACCATTAGGTGTGAGAGGCTTTGAAAAACCAAAAGGAATAACCATTCTAAGCTACAAGCTTATGCAGGGAACAATCACGGTACTAATTTAAGAATGAATAAGCATCATAACTAAATAATATTTACAAAAGAGCACACTTTGAGTCAATTCACCTCAGAAATACATTTGAGTGTAGCATGCGCTAAGGGTGCAAACAGAAAGAGCAGACAAACACATGCATTATTGTGATCTTTTTTAATATCTTAATTAAAGATGTCTATTTTCGTTTGTAAATACAGCAAAATAGGATGATTCATCAAGTAGGTAAAAGTACAATAGAACTATTTTCACTTACCCATCATGACTAGGGTAACTGTTGAATAAGTACACTTCATTCGATGCGGACTTGGAGCCCGATAATGCAAAACATTATCTTAACATACATGGCTTGCATGTGACGTCATGGAATCATGCTGGTGGCCCCTCCTTTCTGTTCTTGCCGGGAAAAGAAAACTCGATCATGCAAAACGTACGCAGCAGAAAAGACGCCCTAGCAGCAAATCTACCACAATGGCCGCCCATACAATGTTAGTGCAAGCCACGTATTAGAACAGACACGTTCGAACTAACACAGATGAAAGTATCGAGGCTCTGCCTATTGCACTTAAGCGCCAGTTGCATGACAGAACTTACGATTGGACCAGAACAGCATAATGGCGAAAGTAAGGTCGTCCGTCCCCTTCGGAAGCGTTGCCAGGCGTTCGCTGGTGATGCCGATGGATATCGCCAGGCCGAGTAATGAAAACGCCACGAAGGACCACTCCGTACGCGATACATCTGTGGGGTTTCTGATCTGCGGATGGACAAAAATACAAAAAAAACCTTTACGGGAGGAGGCGAAACAGTAAAGCAGACACTTCGGAGAAAAAAAAAATTTTTACACAAGAAATAAGACCCTTCTCGGAATATTGCTAACCGTCATAGCGAAAAAAGACCTAAACATATCGCCTCAATTGGCAGCTCCAGTAATGCTCCAACGACCTACATTTACGGCGTCAGTTTTTTTGTTTTTTTTTAAGAGTATGATCATTAAAGGGTCATTTTAAAACGCATGTACCGGTATGTTGAATATTTCATGCTTTGTCACCTAGCGCAACCCTATTATACCTTCACGTCAATGCAGAACGATGTATGTTTTCAGTGTGCTCCTTAACCATAGTTTACTTTTCTTGCGTACTGTATTCTGTTTCAATGCTCTAATATTTATAAACTCACAGTCCAAGGTACCCCCTTCCTACCCAAACGTGAGCGTCATTTTCCCTTTAGAAAGAGCGCCCTGAGAAAGAAAGGGTGTATTCATACACCCTTTGTCCCATCTAAGACACCCCAAACCTTCAGCTCGACGTGCAGTGCACTCACGCCGATCTGACGGTACTAACTTTCACGAGAGGCTTGATAGCCATGAGGGACAACTTATTAAAATATCTAATGTACGTGTTTCTGAATAAAAAAAGAAAAAAAAAAAAAGAATCGGGGTGCTCTTGGCCCTACTGCAAAACCTTAGTGTTTTCTTTCTGTGGTCTTTGGTACGTACTATAGCTCCCTAATAAGTTATATCGCACCGTTATTAAGCCCCTTGTAAAATATGAGGTCGTCTATTCGACCCTGGTGCGCTATAGGTCGAACTGAAGTTCTGGGGTGCATTATATGGGACAAAAGGGTCTAAAACGACACCCCCTTTTCTTTTAGTGAAAGCACCGTGCGTACGACTACTGAAAATAGCACCGCATAGAGCTCTTTGCCAGTAGTAGATCTGGGCCTTCGGAAGCTTCCGCCGCGTAAAAGCACTTGTAAATTCTTCTTCCGTGTCTCGCAACAGACGACACAACGTTGCATTTTCGGTGATTCATGGCTGGAGCGCTACTTCCACGGAGGTACGATCTGCGCTCCACCGGGCGTTGGTCTAAATAGACCTTTCTGCTAATCCCCCTTACACACGCTCTACCAGGCTGTGTAATGCATTCTACGCGTGCTCAGTAGTTCTGCAAAATATCAGATGCCGCACATGCGGCTACAGGCCGGTTACTCGGCATTGTGCTGCTCGTTGATAATCAGTGGAAGATCGTATACCGTCATCTCCCATTTATTAGGAGCCCATTAATATTGCCGCGAGCGCAGCTGACCAACTAGGCAGCGCGCTCGTGGCATAAAAAAAAAAAAAAAAAAAAAAGCGCGCTCGTGGCCTAACGGTTATCGCGCGTGCCTTCCACGCAGAAAGCCAGGATTCGATTCCTGGCTGCGGGGATGCATTTTTGTTGACTCTAACATAATGTTGTGGTAAATTCATGATCCATGTTGCTTGTTCGAGGTCAGAATGTTCTACACGCCGAACCGTCTACGCCGAATGTTCCAGAAGCCCACGCGTCTACAGAAGGGGCTCCGCGGGGCGAGCCGCAGTCAGTCTCGCCCCAGCGCTTGATCCTGTGGTTTCGCCGAGGTTGACGCTCTGCAGTTTTCTTCTGTTCCCTTTTTGTTTTGGGCACAAGTTCGCCCCATTAAACGTTTAGCTTCTTCAGTTATCATCGCCTCATCAAGTGTCATTCATGACAATATTGATACCCCGCTACGTATACAGACGAAGGTCTAGGGGATGAACTGGACGAATAAATGCAATTGGTTCTCGTTATTGGGATGAAACCACATCAAAAACGCTTTCGGGGTGAACGGAGGTGTCCATAGTAACCAGACATCACTGAACCTCCGCGGTATCTGGGACTGCAGACCACTCAAGTCGTGGGAAACGGCACTAAGTCTCGAGTATAGACAGGTGAACGCAACAAACTGGTCGTAAAATAATAATATTTTTTTGCGTTCGGAAAGACCGCCAGGTCAAACATGAAATTATAAAATCCACCGGCCCCACAGGGTGGCAGCACGGTGACATTGCAAAGTCCGTCAACCCGGATCCTATCTTTGATAAAGATAGTTTTCATCAGAGCGATCAGAAAGTGACGTTTAGGAATAACAGCACTTCAGCCCTTTTGTCGCTTCTAATCGTTGTTGCCAGTTGTATGAAGCTTTATCTGAAATCGCCGGAAGGTGTTGTCCGTCCTCCAGCAATGAGAGAACGGTCCCCTACAGAGAAAAATTATTTTAACAGCCTGAACTTCCTGACGCCTTATCTAAAGCTGAGGAAGCCGCTCTTTTGAATCATAATTGTATTGCCAGTGGTGCCCGCACTGCACTGAACAGCAAAACGACGACACTGGAAAGGCAAAAAAAAAAAAAAAGTAAAATGTCGATGCTCCGAGCACGCTTGTTTGAGCGGCTTCAGTTTTCATAAGACGGTATATCCCCGCCCAGGCACGTAGCCGGAAAGGCCCATCACTTGAGCAGGGAAGAAGCCCCCGTCCTGCTACAGCACGTGGACTATGGCTCGTTCGGCTAGGGGAATTGCCGAATCGCACAACTGTCCTCTGTATACGTCGTCGCCAACAGCAAACTTATTCTCATCCTCAAAATAGACGAGCACAAACTCGCCGTCGTTGCATTCAGTCATATTGCGTTGCGTTCAGTTACAGCAGGCAAAGTGAACGGTGAACATAAAATGTTACGACTGCTGAACGGATTGGATTGGCTGGTATCTTTCACATTAAAACCTTTATGTACTTGACCGATAAAAACGCACTCCAAAAAAAAGCCGAAAAATGTATTTTCGTATCAGTAATTTAGTTCGACTAATTAAATTTTACACTCTATTATACTTCGTGCTTTTTCTGACGAGTAATTGTTTGTTTTGCAATTTTGGTTGCTAGGTACAGGGTGGCAGTAAAAAAGAATCCAGGGTGCGCCATGGTCGATCCGCCATTTTTAAAAGGTGAATATTTTGCTGTCTACTGTGCATTGGACCTACCAATTGTGGCTACAAAGTCCTTATAGAAAGCAAAGCAGGTGTTGAACGCGATATTCTTTGCGTGCATGCGTGAAGAGGAGTCGTCACGACACCTGAGGCAGCATTTCAAGCTCTGAAAGCGGAACGTTTCGTTCATTCCGGCGATGGTTCATTATGCCTTGTGGGCGTAGCAACTGCACCAAGAGGGCTCGAAACGATTGAATTTCTACGAGTAGAATTCTTCTCCACTCCGAAGTTCCTGAAAATCAGCATGCGAAGACAGCAGTCCTCACCGCAGTCACAATTTCGTAGGATTAGGCACGTCGACTTCAACGACCCTCCCGTCATCTGCTAGTCGTATGGCTACCGTGTCTTTTATTGCGACTTTGATATTATTTATTGGACTTGGGAGGTAGAAATATACAGGCGTGTTGGTGTTGGGGGAAGGGTGACGCCCATGCAACTATAGTGTGCCCACAACAGCTGCAAGGAAGATAGGAAATCCATCATGTGATAGATTTTCTTGACAACTAACAACAGACAGATGCGCCTCAACGAACGGAGAACACCTGAAGACGACGCCACCTGCTTTCTGCGAGGTCGATGCACCGTTTTATGCGCAGCGTCGTCTGCTACTCGCAGCGATGGTTGCGTCGCCTTTTTCTCGGCTTTCAGAAATCTATTGTTGTTTCACGAGCGAGACTGGGCGTTCGAGGAAAGGGAAAGAAAATACCAAGAAGCGTACGTACTTTATTTATTGACTAACAACAACGAGACGCATTTCAGAAAGCGAAGAACTCGCGGCCGAGGCGTTTTCCACCGAGATCCGCTTGCTCGCCCCATTTGGATGGTGAATATTGGCTGTTGCTCTTATATCGGGCGGTAGCTTACGCCAACCAGCCTCGAATTATTTATTTGAAACGTGTTTTTCTTTTTCTTTTCTATCATACTTAATCTTCTTCTCCCTTTACCTCCCTGCAACTATCACCGGGCGGGGGTAGAGTACTTTCTAGGGAGAGCTTTGCGGCCGCTGCTCTTGTTGCCAGCAAATGGGGCGAAATTCCAACGCAATTAACCAGTCGCCAACCCATTCAGAAACAAAGTAAAAATTTGAAAAGGCAATAAGCAGAGTTCTATTTTGCATAAATAAAAAAGTGCATTACCAACTTTGTTATTTGTGAATGAACACTGCTCCTAATAAAACACTGAAAATTCCCTCTGGATTGGCTCAGCTACACGTGGTTTGGCGCAGCCGGCTGTTGCTGGGGAGGCTTGCGGGCGTCGAAAGAGGTCTTTGCGTGGTTACGTTTTCGCGTGGTCAAGTGGCACGGATTTGCCACCGTTTTTAGTTCTACTAAACGTGGAGTTACCGGGGTTGGCATCCTTGTACTTGGGTCATACTGCACAGCCTTCAGAATGAACCGGCAGGAGCGCGGTCCCTACAAGAAGCATTTGACAAGCAACAGCGAAGTAGTAAGTACCTGCGTCACTCTTTGTCACGACCACTGAAGCAGATCGTTCAAGTGCCGTCATACGGCACTCAATACGCACATCCAAGTGCCGTCCTAAGCTTTTCGATACACGCCGCCACGGGAACAAAGAAAGAGTCTGCCGCTGCTGTAGGCTGAACCTACTGTATGGATGATTCAAAGTTTTTCGACGTTCCAAGCACTCCCAGTAGCGCGACAATTTAGGGGCAAGGTTACAAATGTTTTAATTTCTAGTTAGACATTAAAGGTTCACCGCTGCTTTGTTCTATCGAGGAGAAGGGGGGTTAGGCCTTGGCTTAGGCTAATGTACTGTTACTATTGCACAGTACGTCGTATTCGAAGCACAGGGCTACGTGGAGTTTTCGTCAGCGTGTAGGAAAGGATACCTTGCTGTGGCAGACAGGTTACGCTGTACAAATGTGTAATAACTATAATAACCTGTGAAATACGCACATTAGGAAACTTTAGCAA